CGCAAAAAAAAAAAAAAAAAAAAAAGCTGGAATATTAAAGTTAAACTGTAAAAATCCCAAAGAAAGCTGCGGGACTCTCGTTAATAACGCTCCAGCTTGCTAGAATAGAAGAAGACACGGAGAAATGCACTTGTTTTTATCGAGAGAAAAGTGCAAGTCGCCAAATTCACCGCCCACTTCCAGCGAGGAAGCATGGCATGCCACACGACCTGCTTCATGCGCACCCATTTTATGATGACCGTCCTCTGCACGACGATGCCCGACTTTCCCCCTCCTCCTCCTCCTCCTCCTCCTCTTCCTCCTCCACAACTTCACAAAAACCGAGCTTAACGTATTTCCAAAGCAAAAAAATAATAATAATATCCGGAGCGCAGCAGCGACGACAAGCCGACGGTGTAATTTGATCTTTACTCTTTGTTATTCCAGAGCCGTGTCACTGCAACATCCAACTACATGTGCGCGAAGTTCAAAGCGACCAAAAAGTGCACACTTTCTACAACCGAACCGCTTTTTAAGTTCTTAATTTTTTAGCCGGTTTGAGCCTCGTGAGGCGTTCACGGGTAGTTTTGTGTGTGCGCGGCGGCTGTTTTTGTTGACAGCAGCAGCAGCCCGCGTGTTGAGACGCATCCCTGCTCGGGGTGGGCGTGAGACATCCAACTTGGCTTATTTAGCAAAATGTGGAGCACACTGCGGGCTGCACACGCCGCTGCAGCCGCGTTGTTGCACACCTAAGCTGTGTTTTACGCGCAACACTTGAGTTCAATCGGCGGCTGCTTTTCCTCCCCCTCCAGCCAGAAACAAGCCACCGAGCCACCAACAACAACAACAGCCGTCCAGCCGCTCCTCGCGTCTGCATGCGAAGCGCCTCCTGACACCATTTAAACGCACCTCAGCCTTCCTCCCCCCACTTTCCGCGGCTACTTGAACTGTTTTAAAAAAGAAGGCGAGCCGCACATGGAGCAGCCCGTCCTGCAGCAGGGCCTAAAACACAGCGATTGTTCTGAGACAACTCGGAGCTTGTTTTGAATTACACATCCGACAGAGCAGCCAAACACTCTCCAAACCGCCTCGGACGCGCGGCGCCGCCAACACGCACTTCCTTACCTTGGTTGCAAGTTGCGTGAAGCTGATATAAAGTGATAAGTCCCCGCAGCGCGTCGTTACGATGTGACTATTATGAAAATCAACCCGCATCAGTAACCCGCTTCTCTTGTTGATGTCTGCGCCTGTGGACGGGACTGGATAGTTGTGGAGCCAGTGCGCATGCGTCGTATCCACACCTCCATTTCAGAGTAGAGCAGAAGGCGTTTTTCTTTTTCTTCAATCAAACTATTTACATAAACGACGTCTGACGTGGCCGTGCGTCTGCATGCTACTGGCCTTATAAGGATGGGAACATTGCGCGGGAACAGGGGGCTCGGCCCCGGTTGCTATGGCACATTGGAGAATGTAAGCAAGGGGGCGGGGCCTGTCGTTTTACTACAGAGCGCCAGATGGCCTGTCTGGAGGCCTACGGTTTTTAGGAGGCTCGGCGTCTAGCACGGACACGGGCTTTGTTGATTTGAATTGCGTGACAACAGAGCAGATTAGTGGTAAATAAAAGGTGGGTTCAACTTGGTCTCCATCCAGTGGTCAGTTTAGGCCGAACAGGCGCTTGTAGCAGCAGCAGCAGCAGCAGCAGCAGCAGCAGCAGCACGCCATCATCCCAGAGGGGGCTGAGCCCAGCCCAGCAGTCTGTGGATGTTAACCTCTTAATTGCACCATTTTCAAGTTATTTCAGAGTGAAATGAATATAAAGTGGGAGACGCTGTGTTCTCTGCAGAGGAGGATCGCCCCACTTGTCTTCTGCTCTCGGCCCATGTTCCATGTGGATGTCTCAGTAAGTGCAGAAGAGTTATTATTGAATTAGAATTAGTCTTATTTATGATGTAAAGGTGGGCCTTGGAAACATCAGTTTTTATAAATGATGTGCCAAAAGATGCAGGTGCTAGAGGAAAAACTTCACCCTAAAAGCCCCAAAATAAATAACTAATAATAATCAGAGAGAAAATATGTCTTAATGTTTGAGTTGGGTGTGTTTGTACAATTTATATAATTTGCTATAGTTTTATCAGAATATTTAAACGACTGAGGTAAAATTAGAAAGGTTCTAACTTGAATATTAACATTTATTAGATAAATTGGTACCAGCAATCTTGGCTTGGCGCCTGTTGATTTGAATAAAATAAAATAAAATCAGCCTTTATTAAACCTGCAGTGGGGAAATTTGCTATATACAGTAAATAACAGTGACTTGAAAAAAAAGCAAAACAAAAAAAACACCAAAACCTCAGTCCATGTTTGGCCTAATAGATCAGGACATAACTCTTCCTCCACCGTCTCTCACCTGCACCTTGTTGCCTTCATCCTCTTTTCTTTTTGAAAAAGCCTTTTATATCCACAGCTTTCAAACCTTCCCTTTGTGAATTGCTTAACTGGCTACCACCAGATATCAACAGTGACACGCTCTGTAACCAGCGTGCTCTCTTCTGCACGCTCACACAAAATGTGCCAAGTGGAATGAAGTCAATCTGCCGCTTGAAGGACAAACAGAGGAAAAAAAAACATGCTTGCGTTTTTGATCGGTGATATCAGATTATTTTGGAGGGCTCTGAGGCCTGATTGGAATGACAGATGAATAAACCCAGTGTTTGTTGGCCAGGACTAACAATCCTACTGCATCATTCTATCATCACATCTATCATTTAGTATTTACAGGGGAGCATAGACTGCGAGTAGCTGTGTTGTATATTTCACATGCAAAATCTGAAGGAAACTAAAAGGGCGACAGCCTGAGTTACTGCCTGGTTATCATGGAGCCTTAAATTACAGACTGGTGATCAAAGTGTCACTGTAATCCGTCCTCCCTACGCCTTATAAAGAACCGTAATCTGTGTCGAGACACCTCAGTTTGTCTTTGAAAACATGCTCCGTGAATCTTAATAGAAATTACAAGCTACACATGAGCATTGGAGGGAGTTTTCACATCCTTTACTTGAGTATTAATACTGTAAAAATACACTTTACTGCAGTAACAGTGTTCAGTGCAGAAAATGCCCTCATTACAGTATTAGGTTATTATCATTCTTAAAAGCAGGATTTTATTGCTGCAGTTGGTTGAGATGGAGCTCAATTTGAATTATTTTGTGTCTTAATGCTACTGATGAGTATTTTCTTTATGAATTAATCTGCTGATTTTTTTTTCTTTCATTGGTGGTTTGGTTTGTAAACATTTTGAAAATAGTGAGAAATGCTTTTCCATGTGCTCGAAGCAAATATCAAAATAGCTGACTGATTTATCGACGAATTATTTCAGTTGTGTAAAAAGTAAGGTAGCTTAATTTATAACTGCAAATTATTCATAAGCTCTTCATATTTTTTTATATACAGGAATTTTAATTTGTAAAATAACTAGTAGCTTAAGGTGTAATAAATGTAGTGAAGTAAAAAGTAGAATATTTCTCACCGATATGTAGAGAAGCAGTACATAGAAATGACTTATGTAAAATAAAAGTATTGCCGATTTGTGCTTCAGTACAGTATTTGAGCAAATGTACTCAGTTACATTCCTCCTCTTTACAAAACCTTCAGTATTATTTAGTTGAATTACATGATTTGCACCATCCTCATAATGATCCAACAGTTCTTTTTCAGAGAGCGCAGAACAAAAACACTGCTTCGGTTGGTCAAGTTTGCATTCATCAAATGCTTCTAAATGGCACAAAGAAACAACAGCAGGACAAGTGACTTATTTCAATATTAACTTTATTCTTCAACAGCACACGTCATAAATAACAGTTCATTATTGCTTTCTCTAATCTGTATTTAAACGGTAATAGAGGCTTGGTCATCGTGGGTTACATAGTGCTTGCAGGATAGTGCAGGAGGCAGCATTTTCATAATTCTTCAGCTGTTAAATCAAACGTGACATCAACATAATACCTAGCGTTTTTTTTACCGACCTGTGCTCTATTCACTGTCTGATTTTTTTTTAGAAACAAAACAGCATGACTCGTATCCACATGAGAAAACGTGGAGTCTATCGGTCGCACACGGACACAAACAAGATGCCTTTATACAGAAAAAAAAGTATGCCACAAATTCATTACACTGTAAGAACCGATGGGGAAACGATTCAAACGGGATGGATCGAGTCTATCAAAGATCTGACGAAGCAAAAATATTTACAATGAGAGAGAGGAGGGGGATAAAAGCCTTCTGACAAAATGACAAACACTATTTGAACTGACACAACTAGGACACCAGTTCGGATCCAGTGTTTCACCAACTGAGGAGTTTTTTTTGTTTTTTTTTTTCATGAGCACAACTCGCATGTGACCCCAAACTGAAATAAACAATGAGAAACAGGCCAGACATCACACAGTAGAACAAGAGCATAATAATAGAACAGTTTTAACATTATAGAGAGGGAGCATTATTTTTCTTGAGTATATTTACTAAGATATTCAATAAATGAAGTCAAGAAAAATGACAATAATCATAAGAATAATAATAATAAGGCCTGAGTCCTGACATCTCAGATCACAACACCAGAAGACGGAGAACAAACAAACAAACAGATTCTGGCCATGCATGTGCTTAGTTTAAAATTCAAGTGCAAGCAATACAGCAGTAGGAGGAGCAGTTATAGTTGCCCCCCCCAGGGTCAGGTACAGTAAATGACGTGAGCGGGGAAAATATCTACGGTGGATGTGAGTGTTATCGATGACTCTCTTTCTCTTCGAGGAAACAGAATTTCACAGTGTAAACAAGCAGAGGACTATTTCCTGAAGCAAATACAGTGTATAAGACATTTACATCAGTGAACAAGGCAATATGTTTGGTGCTTGAGTTGCCAGTGACTTCATCCGGTCCGCTGGCTGGTTTTAATGATAAAGTCAAGTGTCTCAAAGTACCTCCGTTTTTTTCCCCCCGTCCGGATGGAAAGATGAACAACCCAGCAGCGTGGGTTACAGACCAGAGCCCGGTCTCAGGGTCAGAGGTCGACCCCTTTAACCAGCGCCGTCTCCAGGGTGACGCTGAACTCGTTTAGCGTGTGCAGGATGCGAGACAGGGAGTGGACGGCGGCGCGGTCCCTCAGCAGAGCGCCGTCCTCGTACGTCCGGGCGGTCAGGGGACACTCGGCCAGCAGGGGGAGCCACTGGGAGAGAAGCCGGTCCCTGCAGAGAGACGCACCAGCAGTAATGGTGTCATAAATATATGATGAAGTTTGGTATTGAATTGAAAGCAAACAAGCACCGTGTAGTTTTTCACTTTCGGCCTCACAGAGCGGAAATGCTTTTGGGTTTCATTAACCTTGATGATGTCGAGTTCATTCAATGTCAGGGCAAACCACAAACAGGAGAGCTGGTGTTTTAATTAGGCACGACAGAGCCCAAGTAAATTTCTCAATTGTTCCGGCTTTGTTGGCGAGAAAAATGATGAAAAACAGAAAAGACAGACTGGCAAGGTCAGCGTCTTCTATCAAAACATTACTGAAAACCTTCTTTTATCAAAAGGCTGTTCCTCTTAAGTGGTTTGTTTGTATTTATTTTATTTTGTTCTTCTATATTCCATGTTGGTTTGCCCATCTTTATATCCTTTGCATGATGCTTATTGTATTTTTCTTCTATATATTTGGTGCTTCGTCTGCTTGGTGCTTCAAACTTCATTATTGAAAGCTGCTAAACAAATGCAGTTACAGACCACCCGCTGTTTTATCACGATAGCGCTGCACATAAATACACGGTCCACATGGGGTATTTAATTTTTTAAAAATTGGTTTTTAAATTGTTTTAAACAGCTTTACTGTTGCCTCTATTGACTCTTGACTGTATTTTTTGCACGGATTGACCATTTTTGTACTGATGGTGTCAAAATATCCCAACAAAAATTGTAAAAGTGGTTTTTAATCACTTTATAAATTACTTTGCGACAAACAACATGTAGCCACCATTGTTTATACGTTTCTTTTTCTACCAACAGTTGGTGCAAGTCAAGTTTTTATGACTTAATCAGAAATATGGATGATATTTTTGTGTATGTGTGGCTGATTTCTTATGCAAAATAGTTCAGTGTGAGAAAAATATAATAACTTTAGTAAGAGGAATATTTTCAAATTATATCTCTATTTCTACATTGAATATAGATTATATATCTGTATTTTTAATTCCTAACATTAGTGTCAGTCCAATTATTTCTGGAGTTAAATGTCTTTCATATTCAATAACTTTCTTATCTGTGGCTGCTCTTTTGCACCATCAGCAATATGAGGAGGGGGATTTATTTTTTTGTAAATGTCCTCTTCAAGCCTAGTTCAAACTTGTTTTCTCTTGTGTTTTGGGAGAGTTTTCCCAAGTCTGACTTTGGGTTACTCTCTGGATCTCTTTAAACTGTCATTTTAAAAGTTATGTGCGGTCACCTGATTCCCAGGCAGACGAACAGCTGGAATTTGCCCTCCTTTCCGATGTTTCGGGGCGAGGCGTTGATGGCGTTGACGTAGTGGCACAGTGAGTCGCAGGGCGGACCTCTGGTCAGCGTTGATCCGTGCAGGTCGCCCATCTGATCGGCCGTCTCCATGGAAACGACAGCCTTCTCTGTGGGAGAGAGTCGGCGACACTTAGTAGTTTATAACTTATTAATACTGCGACGAGACAAGAGAAAACAGCGGAGATGGATGGTGTAACACTGGTTGATAGCAAAACATATCAATCACGCTTTGTGGCCTGTAACTGGAGAAGCTAAATTCACACCGACTGCCACTAGATGGAGTCGGGAAAACAGAGGTCACTTTATCAGGACTTACCCACAAAGTCCCAAACAAACACATTCCTCTGGAAGAGACGGTTGGACTTGAAGCCATGGAGGAGGAACTTCTCCAGCGAAAGCACCAGCCCTCCTTCACCGCACAACAACACCGTCAGGTTTCCCCTCTGAAACGACACAAACAGAGTTAACGGAGGCTCGTCTTACAATCAGTAAATCCCTTCGTGTGTGGGGCAGAAGGAGCTGCCGTTTCTCCAAATCCTCCACAGCAGTGATCAGTTTGTTTCAGTTTTAAAAGCCTCTTTTATTTATTTATTAAAGAAATAAACAGAACAGAGCATATGCTTGCACTTTAAAGGCTGTGCACTTGTAAATATTATTAAAATGAATTGAAAACCCACTAAAAAACTAAAAAAAAGAGTCTCTCCAGAGCTTTTAAGTTGTTGTGGAGATGAGATGCACAAGAGAAAGAAATGAGGCTCGTGCTGGAGCGGTCGGGGTAATGAACCATGTTGGAGATAAAAAATAACACACGCAGGAGGCTGACAGTCGCTGCAAAGATACTCTTCTGCGCATTAAACACTTTGTCAGCCGACAAGATAAATGAACGCAGGAGCCGAATCATGCTCGCTATTACAGCCACACACCTCTTGTTCAGGTTTGTGGAAATGCTTCACAAGGTTATTCGCCGCCTCCCTCATGTCCTCCTGCACTTCCACTGACAGCATTCCTGAAAAGATGAATGAAGAAGAGTCACGGATAGAAACATGAGGACGGCTGACGATGAACACGAGGGGGACAGAACAGGGGGCTCAACAGAAAGGTGATACAGGAGCAGAATCTGTTATTGTAATGAGCTGCCCAAACAAGTAGGTCAGCTATTGTACTGAAGAATGTGCTCTTTGTCAGTACGTACTGCTCCGGCTGCCAAGCGATCCCAGCACCGTCCGAACACTCTGAGAAGGAGAGGCCAGCTCCGGAGGCGTCCCTGTCCACCTTCCAGCATCCTCCTCCGCACCAGGTGACACCAGCTGACCAATGAGGACTCTTTCCAAGCTGCCGTCGCCCACGCCTTTCCCCAGCCATCGGCCGCACGGAAACCTGAAAAGACAGAAGGAGCGTACGTGTCCAAGATTTAAAAAACAAATGATGACTAATCATTCAAAAGGCAGCCTGTTTACTAAAACAAAACTGTAGATTTGGCTTTTGAGTGATTTGTTATCTACCATAAACGTACAGGAAGCTGACACATGCTCTAGACAATGCAGTCACTTATTATCTGCTTCATGTTATGACCATTTCATCAGAGTGTTTAGGAAGTTTAGACATCCAGTATTTGATTGTCAGGCTCACTTAGCTGCCACCGTATCTTTAACACATTCTCCTACATGCCTCTGCTGTGCTGTGAGGTTACATTTACCGACGAGAGAACGGTCAGAAGATGGATCTTACTTGTAGGTGTGTCCGGTGATCTCGTTGTACACCATCACACAGTCAATCAGACACTTGGCCAGCAGGCCCGAGTTCTCCTGTCCGAGCTGCAGAGTGCTCAGCCTGCCCAGGTTCTTGCACTGACATGGAAAAAAAGCACAAGTAAGAGTAACTCTACGTGCGTCTGCCTCAGGTTTGATGTTCATGTATCCGCAGAAGAGTGAATACAAACCTGGAAAAAGATTTCTTGTGTATTCTTTGGGATCTGTCTAACTCCTGAATCACCCAGTTCTCCTGACACACACACCCAGGGATTAACTGTTGCCATCGCGATGCTCAGCTTCTTCATGGGTATTATGACGACACGATATGGAATACCTGAGGGCACACAGGAGACAACGGGTTTATTATGCATTCAAGCTCTTTTCTTCCCTCTTGAACCCTTTGGATCGCAAGCAGTTTCTGACTGGGTTTTTTTTTTTAAACTGTGAGCTCAGTTTTTATTGAAATATAAAGTCCTTCACCTCTGTGGGAACAGCACAACCATGACTAGAAGTAGAGAGAAGTCAGAAATGTCTTTTGTGCAGAATAAGAAAAGTATAATGCCATAGATCATTTAAAAAAAGAAGAAATACAATTGAATTCATTTATGTAACAAAAAATGAAAAAGTCTGGTCTGTAACACGTACAGCATCTTTCAAAGAGCCCACAGGTGTTGCTGGAAAAATGTTGGGAATCTACATACTATAGAGATTCAAAATCTTTGTTTTATTTCTGTAATTGTCTCCTTTGGGCTTCCTGTAAACACGACCTGCAGTTCTACGTGTTTCAACCAAAAGGTTTTTTTTTAATTTTTAGTTTATTTTTTTATTTTTTTTTTTAAACAGAATCTTGTTAGAGATGAATTAAGATTTAAAGTTTCCTACAGGAACAGCACATCACAGATCAGCAGCTCAAGGAGCATCGTGAAGTTAAAATCTAATGATTATTTTTGCTTTAACAGTTTCTGGCTCTGATAAATGGTGTAATTTTGGTGATTTTATGTCTTTCAAACCCGCCAGTAGGTTTTGGCCTTCAGACTGTTACATTTTCTTACTCCTGTCACAACACTCTGAGTACATTTTCACAGCATTGGAGCAACTTTATCTGAGGTCAGAGTCTGAACCCAAACGACACTGAATGTAATCCCTGTTAATAATGCCAGCTGGGTGGGGACGGGCGTCGTAAAAACAGAACCCAAAGCAAACTTTCAGTGTCCTTGGAAAGCTACAAAACTGCCAGTAAATTCCGCCATTTTGCCGTTAAAGTTTACAGGACTTACAGATGGAGGTGAAGACGCGTGTAAAACAGAGGTAGTCCACAGTGTTGAGAGAGAGCAGGTGGAACAAAAACTGCTCCCTTTCTTCCTCACAGAGCAGGAATGCAAGAGGTTTATACAGCTGCCTGTCAGGGGAGCACGACAACAAAGAGTCCGTCAGACACACTAATAATAAAATGGATCGTGTTGATTGTCAGCAGCATAGTGATCAGTGCATTCTGACCTGAGCAGCTCCTGGTTTGTAAGCAGCTCTTTGAGGTGTTGTGAGAGCATCTTCTTCTCCAGAGCCAGATGGATCCAGGCTCGGGCTTGACCCACCTCAGACAGACCCTCACTCATGGTCTGGATAAACCTGGAAGAACGGCAGACAGGTTGGCGTAAGCAGAAGGAGATGCTCAGCTTTTTCATTACAACAGTCCTTTACATGCTTATATCCTCTAAGATCATCTTCAAGAATCAAAGCCTGCGAGCAAGATATGCAGCCCTCACTCCATAAACACACGATACGAAACTCCATCACTCTTTCCGACATCAAAGTAGGTTTACTCTCATCACCTCATGTCCTGCACTAACGATCCTCTCAGGGGTGAAGTGCCATCTTCGGGCGTTCTCTGATCCGAACCGTTAGATCCTAAAGAGGGAGAGAGTTCAACACGATCAGTCGACTCTTAACTCGGCGATTTACACGAGAAAAACAAAGCAGTTTTTTTCTCTGACCTGGAGACTCAGCTGGTGCCTCAGTCTTCCCCTGGGCGGCCTGGTAGTGAAGCAGATGGGACCAAAGAGCAGACTTCCCCTGTTTAGAATAAACACATTTATCAATATCCAGCATTTTTCATACAGTCATCTCACGTGCGCGATCTAAACTGTTTACACGAGAACACACAGCCCCAGACGGTTTTGTAGGTCATCTCTTTGCATGGAGACATGGAGTGTTTGCAGGCCATCTGAGCTGATTAGTCATGTTAAATCACATGTCTGACCTGTTTCATCTGCAGACCGTGGCCCCAGGTTCTCTCCAGCAGATCACACAGACCGTGGATGAGTGTGTTTTCCTGCAGGCCCGTGATGTTGGCCTCTCCCTGACCCAGTTCCACGCTCTCCTTCCCCATCCTTTCCATCAACATCCGCTTGGTCTAAAAAGCCAGAGAAAATCTCGTGTCATCGCCAATGAACGCAGATTTCACAGCAACCCGTGAGCGAAGCGAGCTCCCCACCTTCAGACGACACTCGCTCAGCAGCCCGTCCACAAACTCCCGGTGAGTGTGAGTGACGGCTTGAGGCGACGGGTCAAGCAGCTTGGACTGGCGGAGGGTCTTCCTCGTATATGCGTGTTTCTGGTGAATAAAAACAAAAGCAAATGAAACCGACAGAAGCCTTCCTGAAGGCTGCGTGTTTGTCAGTGTGCGTTTAGGAGGACGTGGAGGTACCTGTCTCAGCTCGTTGTCCACTCCTGAGTGATCGGTGACCGTCGATCTCTTGGGTTCGGACCTGCGTGATGATGTCGTCACGCGACTGGACCATCTGTTCACCCAGATGACAGCAGAACAAGGACTCACAATTTGAAATGTGTGCAACTGTATTCAAATCCCATACTTGTGTATTTTTGTAGGTAATAAAATCTAGGAATATATTCTCATGCAGCATCATCTGCTTCCAAATATGCTCATTTCCACTGATTTTAAACCTGGTGCGGCAACATTACTTACATAAACAACAGAATCACAACATCACCAATTTGTTTGCAATTTTCCTCTTGAAGTTTGCAGATACTGTATAATGGTGTGATCACAAAAGGACCTCAAGTAGAAGTAACTGTAGTTGGGAGTTGACGAACAGCGGAAAACAAATCTCACTTGTTGGTGTTTTGTGCCTGTGCCAGTACATCAGCCTGCAGTTTGGGGAAATAGCCGGGATGGTGCCGACCCTGACCGATCCTCATGTCCAGCAGGTGGGGGTGTATGGCCGTGTGGTCGGTCTTCAGCAGCCTGCGCTCAACGGCATGAGCTGTGGAGACAAACGAAGAGAGGCTGGTTTGAGCACATGTATCTACGACTTGCATGCGAGTTAATGTCACTTCTTTAAGTCAGCAGCTGCTTTCACGTTTGTTTAGCTGCGAGGAGAATCACATGAACTGAAGACATAATGTGGCTGATGGTGTGACAGAAGCAGCGACTATGAGCCAGAGTCTAAATGTGAACTTAGCCGCCGACACGCTGAGATGCGAGCGGTGCAGTTTGCTGCAGCGAGGCTGGCACGACTTCAGAGCAGAAGGTTTAAAGCAGTTTTCACAGGACACAAAGCGCTGTCCTCTGCTTATATAATCCTCATCCCCCCACCATATCCTTTAGTTCACCCCTCTCTAACGCTACCCACTTTCCCCTCATATCAGATTCTATCCCATCTCTTTGGTTTTTCAATTATTAATGAAGTCTTAATTATTATTGTTCTATTATTTTTAATTATTAATCCAGTTGTTTGGTTTTAATTTCTATTCAAGAAATGCTTCCATCCTTTACAATTTCCATAGTTACATATCTTGGAGTCTTTTCCAGCATGTTTTTCCTCAGCGATGATTACAAAAGATGAAGAAAATGGTGGTGGCAGAAAAGGCCAAGCAACATAATCAACATATGAACGCGAGCAGACGGGCAGATGGTGGCTGATTCACAGATTCTCTCTGCAAAGTCTGGCGCTCGGTTCAGTCGCATCATTCAGCTCGGGTTTCATTTTATTTTCCGGCTACAAATTATTCAAGTGCTAAACAGGAACGGGTGAAAGAGTCTCAACAGAACAACAGCATCGCTCTTGTCAGAAGGAGTCCTTCACACCAGCTTCTTTAAACGACCGCATGTGAGAATTATAATGACTACAAGATCCATTCAGTCATCAGCGCCGGCCTCCAGAAGAGCCAAGGTTACAGGAACTGATCAGTTATCGGCACATAAACTCCACTGTCAGATTTACATGAACAATCTATGGAAATGAAGCCAGTTTATATTAACCCTTTAAACCCCCAAGTAGTTTCTGGATGTTTTTTTGGCTCCTGTCACTTTTTTTCTCAGCATGAACGTCTCTGTGCAGATTTCAGAACTGTCTAATGTGCAGGATGACAAAGTTCTAATGCCATAAACCATTCAGATGACTTACAACAATTGAAAACACCTGAAATTAACAAGTACAACAAGTATTACCAACATTGGAAAAAATGGTGGTTCTACACGCAATGCATATTTTACTATTAACATTTTCAATTTCTTTCCCTACTTGTCTCCAATCCTTTCTGTGTAAGCACAGCCTGCAGTTCAGTCCAGTTCAGCCAAACCATTGCTGATTTTTTGTCACAGGAATGTTTATCACAGCTCAGTCACAAATGGCTTCTCGGTTGTGCCGAGGAGCCAAGAATTTTTTGTACATTACAGAATCTGGTTACAGCAAATGGCCCATTTTTGGCAAATTTGTCAATGAGACATGAAGAATAAAGTGACTCATTTTGATAAAGCATAACCTAATTTTAAGGTAAATTTGGTTTTATGATGGAACAGGACGTCACATATGAGTAGTTCAGGGACCATCATAAAGTTTAAATAATGTAGTTTAAGCAAATTTTTAAAAGACGTGCATTTTGGGATTTGAGGGTCAAACATTAACATCTGAGGTAGATTAGTGTGTTTGTATTTCGTGTAGCAGCAGTACAGAATTTATTGTGTGTCTTATCTTGCAGCAACATAACAACGGGCACCGTCACAGTACCTGATTCAAACAATGTGGTGCATTTCCTGTACGGGCAGCTGCGGGAGTCTTCTTCGCCTGTATCATACAGACGTTCTCGCTCCAGACGGTTGTCAAACAGCTGCTGCAGCGGCTCCCTGTCTGCCCAGCGAGCGATAACTTTCCCATCCACAAAAGAAGAAAACATGGACGTCTCCAGGAACCGGGACAAGAAGTGCAAGTGGGTTGCTGGCTGTACTGAGAGGAAGGAACCCTGGAACAATAAACGTATATTAATCATGTAACTTATGTGGGACTCTTGGACTTGAATAGATCACTGTTAGCTCAGTCTGCTGAAGTACCTTATCGAAGCTGAACGTCCCCTCTCGGTTGCTCAGCCAAGAGTCCAAATCGAGAGCGCTGTGGATGACAAACTCGTCGTATCTGCCAAACATGGCGGCAAAACGTACAGCAAACACCTCCCTCAGCTGAATATTTAGCTTCGCAGCCTTCAGCTCTTCCTCCTCCTCCTCAAACACGTGTCCCAGCGTCTTCCCTCCATCTGACATCTTCCCTCCTCCACACCTCCTCGCCAGAGCCTGCAGCCTCTCGAGCACGGCCAGCTCCTCGCCTCCGAGGTTCCCGTTCCTTCTGTCCTCCATCAGATCCTCTAGAACCAGGCTGCTCAGGCGAGGGGAGGAAGAGGAGGAGGAGGAGGTGGTGGTGGTAGTGGTGGTGGTGGTGGGTTTAGTGATCACTCCCCCCTGCGGTGGCAGCCCGAAATGCAACAGCACCTCACTCAGCTCCTGGATTAGCTCGGTCTGATCTGGAAACAACGGAAGGTCCTCGGGGGCTTCCACACAGTGGTTGTCGATGTCCACGAAACACAGGTTGGCCTTCGAAGGAGCACAAACGAGAGAGTTAAACTTTTCAATCGGCTCCTCTGTCAGATAAGCATAACAGGTTTAACCGGTCACAATGCACTGACTCCGATATCTCATGTAGGCAAAGTGGCTGAGATTTAGCGTCCAATTAAGCGCAGAGATGGAGATTCACATTTCTTTAATAGATTCTTGGCATTCCACCGCGATAAACGCTCGCAGGACATTAGCATGCAAAGGATTATCTAATGATTACTGTTATCACTGCAACATTGTGGAAAACCTGCGATATGAGGCTTTAGAAACCTGTGCAAAGTGTACTCAGAAAGCTGCTGAGCAATGAAGTACTGGACTCTGAGAGAAAGATAGGCGCTGATTTTAAAAAAACTGCCTCTGTAAGCAGCAGCGAAGCGCAGCAGTCAGCAGCCGCACGACCTTCAGCGGTGACCTCAGGCAGTCGGTTTACAGCCTCCGGGGAAGTTGGAAGATGTTCTGTGGAGCGGACAGTTGCAGGCGACTCATCCTCCAAACTGATATCTTCACGTCTTAACTTGTCTTTTTTCATCATTTTTTAAAATCCAGATACGAAAACGAGGAGCCAGAGTAGTAGATGCAATAATACCTCGAGAGTTTACGCTTCAGATTCAGAGATGACACAAAAATATTTCACTGCTATTAACTTATGCTCCAATTCCTGATTCTTCTGCGCTTCAGCAGACAGAAAGCCGTACATGCTGCCGGCTTTATTTCATGTCTATATTAAGGAGAATGGATTCCAAACAATCATACAAGCACAATTAAAATATTTCCCACTTCTTTCAAATTGCACAGCTCAAGGAATAAGTGGCGATCTCTAATTCTCATTAATTATTCAGCCAGCTTCATTATTCTGGATCTGTCAAGCTCTGCGTTTTTTTCCTCTTTCATCCCCCCCCGAGCTGTCTTACTGCTGCCTCTTTTCTGGGGCAGAGCGACTTCAAAGAGGCTTCAGTGAGATAATCATGCAGCATAAAGTCATCTCGGATGCGGGATTGGATTTGAAAGGGGGGGACAGCTCTGAGGAAATGCATCGTCCCAATTCGACTGGCCAGAGCCAGAGGGTGAATTGCATGCAGCGCAGAGTGGATTCTCGTGAGTGTTTCAGTCTAAAAAAAACATTTTAGACTCTTCAGTATGATTGTTTATGAGAAATATTTGCACCCAGCATGTCTGACTGGCGTGCAGGAATCTACACAAGCATTTGCAGATCAGCTCCTTGTTGAGTGCCGTACCTCGTGTGGCAGGTGGAGGGAGGATCGCTGGGCTCCGTCTCGGCGCTGGATGCCCATCAGGAACGGCACGGGAGCGTCCAGAAGGTGATGTAGCGGCGTAGAAACGATGGGCAGGTAGATGTGCTGCCACTGGAATGGGAACAGCAGGGTGGTGATGCCCTCTGCCACCGTCATCAAACGCTGGTAGTCTGAAGAGAGAAAGCAGCGTGCAGTAATCACCTCCAAGAACCGAAGTGAGACGTCATTTCCAAGGAATCAGAGCAGAACCTTAAAGATGATTTAATTAATATTCCTGTTTACATGCTAGAGAGCGCAGCACAGCTAATGACGGAGGAGTTTCCCTCTGCAATTTAAGGACTTGCTCCAGTGAAAATCAAGGATTTTATTTTAACATTTGCAAATAGTGTTTTTAAGATCCTAGAAGACACACGATGAGCAAAGTAAACAGTCGATGTCATGGCTGAGAATTTCCATTTCTCCCATCCATCTTCATTTCTACAGTCAAATCCACTCGACTTCAGTTTGATTGATTTTATCTCAAGCAAACAACAAAAAAACAAGTTTTCTGAGTTATCTGTTTTTGCACATGAACTCTTCATACACAGCTGAATTATTCTATAATCTAATACTATAACTTGTCATCATAAAGCACTGAGTAGTTTTATAGTGTTTGAGCAGACTTGTAGGTGAGCTGGTGTGCCCGAGCTGCAGCGAGAGGTGGACGACGGCTAAAGCGAGAGCCGTGGACATCAGAGATCTGCACATTCTAGAGGAAGCAACAGTGAAGAACTACATTTAAACCATTTTAAGAAAGGAGGAGATTATTCTTATGGAAAAGAAAAGGCATTAGAATCAGTTTTAGGTTTTTACATAAAAAGAATTTGATTCTCTGATTTGCTGCATTACAGTAAACACTGACAAGCAGAGATTTTTTTAAGGAAGAAGAAAGAGATTTAACAAGATTTTTAGGGGTTTAATCAATGATCTGTTGAGCTGTTTACATGTGCGGCTATTTTAATGTAAGCTGTGAGAAATAAATTGTCAGTTTGCTATTTGATGTTGTCACCACTCTTTTTAATTTTATGTCACGTCTTGGGCAACTGTCTGTTATCATTAATTCAACACAAAAATATATTTTTTGTGTTGTGTCGTTCGTGTGCAGCTGTTTTGATATTGGTGCAATTCCTAGCCTCAGAGTGGACGGTGCTACTCAATATGCTATTCAAATACAGCATGTGTGTTTTCAAGAGTTACAACAAATAATTCAATGAAGAAACATCCTTGTAATAAGTTCACTCTGAATATGATTAGAATCGTGTTGGAGTAATGCCTCATCAACTGACCTTTTTCACAGCAGGCTTTGTGATTTGTCATAATAGAAAAAGCATTGGCGTTATTCACAACATAAACAATGGCTCTGGTCCATCCGTGTGTCCCAGTAAGTCATTGATGATGTGAAAGTGAGGCAGCATGCACACTGTCAGGACCCTGAAACTAAAGCAGCTAAATGGAATTCAGCCATCAGTTATTCTATCATGTGTTTCTCTGAGCACTAGTTCCTGAATTCTGTGCTTACCTTGGGAGTAGAGCAGGACTTGTGTCTCCAGAAGCGCACAGGTAAGCAGTTTAACCATATTGTCCACACCCAGCAGGGAGAACGCCTCTCCAAGAAGATACTCCCCCAGCGGAAGCTCACCCGGCCCGGGCCTCTGGCACACGATGGGCCCCTGCACCCCGTGGAACCTCAGCGACCTTCCGGGCGGAGGCAAGGGCACCTCGTACAGGATGTTATGGATGTAGCTCTCCAGAGGGAGGGGTGGGGCCGTCTGCGACGTCACCGCCTGGTGCAGCTGAGCCAGAAACTGTCGTGAAGCCTGCAGGAAAGGGAGCGGCGTGACCAGGCAGAGCGCTTTGGACACATACAGGGTGTCACGTGCCGGATCGAAGGAGCCCGCGCAGCCGAGGCAGCCGGAAACCCCGGCCAGAGACTCGGCGTCTGACTCATCCAAGCTGCTCGCAAGCGAGTCCATACTGGAGGTGGAAGGCGAGGAGGCGGAGGAGGAGGAGGATGAGGAGGAGGGAGAGGAGGCCGACGAAGACGAGTGGTGCTCCACGTGGTGCATCTGATAGAGCGTCTGCATGGCAGTGATAATCTGAGGACTGGTCACCTCCTCGTAGAAGGTGTGAACAAAGCCGTAGGAGCGCGTACCGTCGTCGAAAGCGATCGTGAATGAGTGAAACTGGGGGTCGAGTCCGTCCGCTTGGGTGCGGAAGGACAGGCCTCTTGGCATGCAGAGCTGAAGGGAAGGAAAGGGAGAAGAGGTTTTAGAATAAAGTGGCAAATCAATAACTGATGGAGTTTCTAAACTGTTCTGCATTTGCACTAAACTGAAACCTTTGTGGGACATAAACGCAAAACATCTATTATAGAAAATCCTGTAATTCACTTAGAGATAGAAAGAACTTACACCTGACAAAAATGAAGCTTGTGCCCAGCAAAAGAGTTTAAAGAAACATTGCTGACAGGTATTTGGGGAAAAATGGATAACACACATAAATTGAAATGCTGAAGAAGCAACGTGACTGTCAGATTTTGAAAAAGCCTTAAAAAAGAACCCCAAAAAGTTCTTTAGAAAAGGTGTAATTTCACGAGCAGTTGCCAAATAATCTAATAATAAAATACAGTAGTGTCTCCTGGGATGCTGTTAACAACACATTTTAATAGGTAAGAAAACCAAAAAAAGGCGAGACATTAACATTAATTCAATTCCATCTGCCTGTTAAAAAATTCTCTGGGGCTCTTATCATGCTGACCTGCTTTTTCAGCAGAGAACAATAAACACGCTGTGCATAGTTTGGCAAAAAAACAGACTATAAAAAGAGAGCCAGAGAACAAGCAAATACATGGTTTGTACTTTTAATGTTCACTTTCACTGGTTGGAGAAGCAACAAAAAACATTTTCCTACAAAACAGCCACTTGAAGCCTGAAGCAGAGCATCAAAGCGATCCAACGTCTCACCATGTTGACAGCATCTTTGTTGAAGGGGTTCCTGTCTGTGTTTTCAGGGTAGTGCACCAGAACCTTTGACTTGAAGGAACGTCGGATGGGGCTCTGCTCGAAGCCCTCACCTGAAAAGACGGACAGACAAAGTTATGTTGACGCGGAGCGATATTTGACCTTGATTAGTGCTGAATCGGAATTCATAATGAGGCAGGAAGGACGGAAGTGAGGACGTCACAACACGACAGCCGCTTTGATTTATGAAACCGTTCGGACAGGACAACCTTGTCTGACGCAGAAAAAAAGTTCATCTGCTGTCGACAGCAGCAACCGTTCAGCTGCAAAGAGGGAAAAACCCTTCCAGGAGCTTATGTAACTCAACTCATTACCATAAAGATAGAGTGGAAACGCAGTACAGCACCCCTCATCCCTGACACGCTGCAGCAGGAACGTCTTTATAGGGAGGATGAGAATATGCTGCTTTTTTGAAAGGACTGAATTTTGCAGTGAAACTCTGCTGTTGTATCCCTGATAAAGTCCTGCAGTCACAATGCACACAAGCGTCGCTCTGCACCTTGTGTCAGCGTCCAGCTCCGGTTACATACAAAGTGTTGCCTGTGCGAGTGGAAGAAGAGGAGCTGAGAAATAAACAGCGTGCATGATTCAGAGTGTGTAATCGACTGACAGTAGTGAATGAGGTACTTTCATTATTTATCCACTTTCTGAGGGGGATGCCCTCGAACAGAGCTCCCCTCTCTGTTTCACTAATCCACCATGAGGCATTCACTGACATCACCGCGTCACAGGAACAAAAATCGGCTGCGAATGGCCCAACAGTCGTCCGTCAGCTGCCAGCTCTCATTCAGCATTCAGGAACATCCACCTCACCTGCCTACGAGATGACGCACAGAGACCCCGACACAGGAAATTACGCCGGCAGCCAGAGCGAGAAACGGAGCACCGCTTCCAGTTAAACTGAGTCAGACTGGTAGGTGGGAGACAGAGGCTGAGGGATCACACAACCAGAGGGGGAGTCAATGTTCTTTACTAAGGATACAAATTGGGAGCTGGCGCTGGGAGGCGGAACGGAGAAGGACGCCGAGTTGCCATGGCGCCCACTTCCGCTGTCGAAGATAGATAACCATCAAGACGAGGCTTTTGTGCTTGTCATCGGTTACGTCAGCCTCGGTTTCGTCAGCTGACCTGATTAAATCCGCTCTCCTCCTGACACGAGCCCACAACAGCGAGTTTGCACGTGTGAACGCCGGGTCTGTCTGCCGCTGTGATGCAGAAGCAGGAGGGAGGTTTGTTTTAGTGTCTGGATAAAAGCTTAAGTGCTGGTTTCAGTTCAGGCTGCAATTAGCATGTTTCCTCCCTTTACAACACACACACACACTTGGCAGCGAGTGTGAAACATGGGCTGAATGCTTCACATCATCACGAGGGCTGCAGTAATTATCATTTCCATCTTAATTAGTCACTCAGTCAGTACGGTGTCAGGAAATAATGACACATGTCACGAGGTAATGTGCTGAAGTTCCCACAAACTAAAATATAGTCATTCATCTGTCATATAAAAGAAGGAAAATGAGCTCAACCTTACAAACAAGATGGAACTAATCAATTGGTTAACCACGAACTGGATTTAATGGTGACTCTGTGGCAATAAAACTAGAAATGTTTTAATGGTGTGTTTACAGTTAAAACAGAATATTTTTATTACCTATAGTTAATTTAATTACATTTTCTATAATTTAATGGGTAAAAAACAGAACATTTTCCTGTTATTTAAAGGTAAATCTATAAACACAGACACTAGAATGTGGTGAAAGATGTGCTGAATGCTGCACATCATCAGTAGGGCTCCGGATAATTATTATTTTCATATTAACAACTAGTTTGGTCCCCAAAAAAGTCAGAAAATAGTGACACATGCTGCTAGAGGATGTCTCAAAGTTGCTTTTCTTTTTTAAAAACCAAAACAGTTCTATCAAACAAGAGAAAGAAAATCAGTGAATCCTCACAAAGAGATGGAGCTAACTCATGTTGCTCATGGTGCTTTTTTAAAAAATAAACTACTACCTGATTATCAAAGCAGCTGCCAAATACTTTCTATTGACGGATTGATTAAATTAGTGCTAATGGTGACTCAACAGTATCCAAACAACAAATTTTCTATGTGTTAATGGGGTATTCATAGCAAAAACTGAAAATTTTCATCATCTATAGTAAATTTAAGTACACTTTCTATAATTTAATGGGATGCCAATGGTAAAAAAAACAACAAAATGTTAGAAAATAGTGACACACATCATTGGTTATTTCTTCAAGTTGCTCATCTAAAAAACAAAATAGATTCAGTTTTCTGTCATATAAGAGACAGAAAATCCACAAATCCTTACAAAGGAGATGGAACTAACTAGTGTTTGATTTGTAGAAAAATACTATTAGTTGATTTATCAAAGCAGCAGCTGATCATTTTCTAGACTAACTGGTTAACCGTTAAATTGGTTTTACTGGTGACTATTGGAGATTTTCTATATTTTAATGGGGCGTTTGTATTAAAAACAGAACCTTTTCTGTGTTTTAATGGGATATCTATAATAAATTTAAGTACATTTTCTATAATTTAATGGAATAATGGTAAATAACGGTAAAGTTATTTCATGGTGAATGGATAAAACTCAGACACTAGAACTACAACGTGGTAAAATATGTGCTGAATGCTTCATATCATTGGTAGGGCTCCAGATAATTATTATTTCTACATTATTTAGTCATTTGATCAATTAAAAGTCAGAAAATACTAACACGCGTCACTAAATGTTGTCTTCAAGTTGCTGTTTTTTGTCGTAAAACAAAAATATTTTTAGTTTTCAACCACATAAGAGAAAGAAGATCAGCTGATTCTCACAACTAAGACCAATCCAATGACTTTCATTATTCAATTATCAAAGCAGCTGATAACAATTTTCTGTCTATCGACTGATTAATCAGCTAAATGTTTCAGGACTAATCCTCAGTACATAAAAGTCCTGAACGCTGGTCACTTTGACATCAGTCTTGTCGGTGTTTTTTGGTGTTCCATATTCATCTGAGAGATTTATGGCCCTCAGTGGTCCTCAGTCCCTAAAACAGCCACACTCCATCAGCGACGACTGAACACCCATAAAGGTGGACATCTGTCATATTCACCATCTGAAATCAGCCTCACTGTCCCATCCATCACATCATTACACGAGTAGATAAAAAGCGCAGAGAGATTAAAATGACAGCAAATGTCCGCTGGCACTGACTGATGAGGAGTTATTCCTTCACGGCCCAAACACTTTAAATCACTCCATTACTGAAGCGCAGGTTTGTCCGTCCGCTTGAAGGTGAATCAGAAGAAAAGACTTTATTTTATTTCTTTATCTCAGCCTGGAGACGCGGTGCCAAGCTCGGGATGAAAGTGACTAAAAATATATCAAACTCAGGTTGGGTTTTCTGCGTGGAAGCGGGCCGCCTACTAACAAGACAAGTGGAGGATGTGGCCAGCTCAAGGTTATAAAGCAGCTCTGTGGGGTCAGGGAGTTCTCAGCCTCCACTGATGTCAGCCCCCTGTGACTGTCATCGGGCCCGAAGCCTCGGCCGTCCAGCATTCCAACAGGCAACGTCATGTGAAATTTGATTAGGCTGCAGAAAACACAGTGGCGTCTATTGAGAAGCCAACAAGAGCAGATTGTCTCTCGGTGGGCATCCGCTAATTACACGCTGTACTGAAAACACATATAGGGCGGGCAGTGAAGGAAACTGCATTCTGCTTGATGACAACCTATGGATTATGTGAGGAGTGAGAAATCCCTCGAACAGAGAGCAGAGCCCTCCTGCTGCAGTGGGTCTGAGATGACCTGCTGTTACATAAGCAGATTGGTGGAGCTCAGATACACCAGCCGCTGGTGTTGTCACCCGCTGCAGGGAGGCGGCGATCAAAGTCTAACCAACTGGTTAGTTAGGGGTCTGGAAAAACCAGCAGCAGAGCCACAGACCGGGCCTCAATGTGCAGTTTTTCCTGGAGCCACGTGAGCTGCTACAAAGAAGACGTGGAGAATGCAGGGTGTGACGATCTGGAAGTGATGTTGGAGGTTTTCAACACACCTGTTCTGTTTCCAAAAAAAAAAACAACTGCAGCACAGATACACTGAATGCTGGCTGACGTCACTCAGGGCTCCTGGGTGAATCTGTCCTCAGCTCGGTGTCAGCTCAAGAAAGCAACAACGCCACCTGATATCCTCAAACTAAGAGCGCCACGTCCACCACACACACACAAAAAACACAATAAAAACATTGTAAACACCTGACAAAAGGCAGCAGCATCACCACTGCTGTCATTATCGTGGCAACCCCTCACATCCACCCACACTTTCACCTTCCTCGTAGTAGGAAGAAGCAATCTTTTCTGGGTGACATCTCTGTTCGAGTGGCATCACGTGGATTAATCGCTGCTTTGTGACCCCACACAACAGTGTAATCTGGGAGCTGGTACATACATAGGACGCGTTAACCCTGATGTTCCAGCTGTGTTCCAGCTGCAACGAGCAGAGCAGGAGGCTGTTTTTTTTTCTACTCGATCACTTTCTCTGCTGTGATCCAGGTGCAGCGGTGGATGACTTGCAGAAAGAAATATTCTCACATTCTCACTGTCTTGAAAATAAAACACAATGAGGAGGAATGTAGTGTGATGTGTGTGTGTGGGTTGTTTTTTTGTCTCCCAAGCAGAGGTCACACAAAAGGACAAGACTGTGATGGAAAATCAGTCTTTTTTTGGTTTAAATTTAATCAAAATGCTTCAAATTCATGATGATGATTCTGTTGAAGTGTGTGTTTTTAGTTGTGTGTCACTCTAACACACAGAAATACATGTTTCATCACCACTAGGTGCTCAGAGATGTGTGAAGATGGTGCTAAAATCATTATTAGATGACTACTTGTAGGTTTTTTTGGTTAAAAAAAGGCCATTGTGTTGATGGATAATGTTGTCAACAGCGCTGTCAGAGAGCAGAAAAACACATTTAAACGGCTCCGACACAAACAGGCCTGAGTGAGCTGCGAAATGTGGATAAAGGAAAGAAAAATAATAATAAAAAAAAAAAAAATGTCACCCATCGGTTGTGGTTCTGTGTCGTGTGGGTTTGTTTGTTTTCTACCTGCTCCATCGTCCGGCTCCAGGCCCGTCTCCGTGTCCACTCCACACACAACAAAATAGTGGGCGAAGCGGCAAGACGCCGATCCGGCTGCGGTTCCGTTCATCCTCGACGCGGTTTTGTGCTGTGACAGATCGGGTTTTAGTTCTGCTCGATGCTGTCGGTGCTCATCGCTGGTTTTTTTAATCCCGAACCGCTGCGCCTCCTCCTCGGGTGTCCTGATCCGAGCCGCTGGCTTCGACCGCCCGCTTCGCACTCGCTGATCCGCGGACTGACTCTGATGGAGTCACGGTGATCCGACGGTGGTCATTTGTTCGGAGGGGGAGGAGGCAGAGGGAGGCAGAGGGAGGGAGAGAGGGAGGGAGACAAAGACCTGAACGCATCATCGTCACTAAATCAGCGTCATTTTACGAGCTTGTTGTCGAGATTCATCAGCAGCAGCACCCACGTTCACAATATCACTGTTTGAATTTATTAAAAAATATCAGACAGAATAGAGATCTAATAGACCATTAAATATATTAAACAATGATCATATTCACTCAAGATCATTTGTAGAGCACATTGACTCAATATTTACTGATATTTTTTCTAAAAATCTTCAAAATACATCTTAGAAATATATAAATAATACTTACAGCTGAATACCAGCACAAAAACAGAGAGGGGGTAAAAAGGAAAAAGGCAGCCAGGGCACTTCCTGGTGATTTCTACCATTTTAATGGCGACCATAACTTAAAAACAACATTTTCTGTCATTTAAAAGTATATCAGCAAGAAGTTTAAAAAAAAAAAAAAAAAAAAAAAGCAAATCATCCTGTCATTAAATGGCAAATCTGTAATTTTTAAAAAAGGACTTTTCTATTATTTTAAGGTATGATAGTCACAAATAAGACATTCTGTTGTTTATTTTTTACTCTAGATTAACAAAAAACAGGAAATGTGCTGTTATATAATGTATCTGTACTGAAATCAGAGCAATTTCTGATTTTTTTAAAGGTGTATCTATAGTAAATGTACCCACATTTATCTGAATAAAAATAAATCTTAATTTTCAATTTTATTTTTTTTATTTATATGAGCATTTATTTTTCATGGGGTCTCTATAATAAATTTACAAACAATTTCTATAATTTAATTGTGTAAAAGCAAACATGATACTGTTGTTTATTTATTTTTATATTTTGTTTAGATTTTTCCTATATAAACAAACAGACAACAGGCACAAGGACAAGAGGACCTGATGGAGTTTTAAAATATGTAAAAGAACAACAGCCAAAGGGGGTTATGCAGTTTAAAGCTGAGAGATGTCCATAAAATTTAAAGAAAAACAGCCGATGGTCCATAAGGTTCTAAATAAGAAACAAAATTAGACAAATAAAACAGGGGAAAAAACCCCACAACATTATACTTTTTTTTTTAATGGCAAAGCTATAACAAAAATTGACTGACATTTGCATTTCGTTCAAACATTCTCTTTTTAATGGGGTACCTGCAGTGAAAACAGGATATTTTCTGCTTTTTAATGATGCATCGAGAGTGAATTTAAGTGGCTATAGCGTCTATCCTGTAATGGTGTACCAGTGGACAAAAAAAAAAAGGTACTATGATCAGATCTTTGTGTCTGTGACTTCTGAGAAAACAGCCCTGATGATATCAAGGTTTCATTGTGGTGCTGCTGTTGGAAATGTGGGGAGTGTTTTTAGATTTCTGATCCCTGCCGTAGACTAAAAGTTAGGATATACACTGGTCTGCCACAACATGAAAATTAGTTGCCAAACATTGTGTAAGTCTTCCATGTGCTGTCGGGTCACGGACACAGAATCTTTGGGGGTATCTTGGGGTGTCTGGTACCAGGACAGTGGCAGCAGATCCTCTGGTGTGTTGAGAGCTCAACAGCACTGAGATGTTTGGAGTCTGGAGGCTGGGTCAACACCTTGAGCTGTTGGTCATGTTCCTCAAGCCTTTCCTGAGGACCCAGAGACCTGTGCTGTGCCATGAAGGGGGCAACGTAACATCCACATGAATGTCGAGGAGAACGCTGCAGTATAACAAGATGACCAATGTTATTTACTTCACTGACCAGTGGTTTTAATGTTGTGGCCACTCTGTTTATCTGCTGCTTCAATTTTAAATGCTCTTTTTTTGTGTGTGTCTTTGCTCCCCAACTTCATACTAAATTGTGTGAGGGCCCCATTTTATTCAAAGGTGGTGGAGATCATAAGAGTTTTTCACCTCAGTTACAGTCAGGGCATGTTGTCTGTATTTGCTCTGTGGTGCAGTTACTTCTGTGATAAAAACTGTTATTTTCCATGTTTTGTCTGGACACCATAAAAAAAGAAATACGTATTTTGGTCCTTGGCCATTGACAGATTTATAGAAAACAGTAATTTAGACTTTGGTCTACGGCACAGTGGAAGTCAGAGCAGCAGCCCAAAGACTGATTAAATACGTTCAGTTTTCTTATCTTTGCAAAGACGTTCACAACAGCATCTTGAAATGGAAATGTTTTTGTAAGATCCATGATGATGGGACTGTAACCTGCAGGAGATAAAAACATGGACAGACTTTCATGCCTGGACATGAAGCACTTTGTTCTCGCCAGGTTTTAAAGATGCTAGTGTGCAGACTTTGACTAAGTTATGTCGGCCCAGTTCTACAGATTAGCAGACAAACATTTAAAAAGAACAGAGACCACATATCAATACGTCATGTTGGGTATTTATTGACCATTCAAACAAACATATTTTCCATTTTATAGGCAAATTGCTTACCAACGTCATTAAATAAATATGATCATCTAGGTCACAAGTACATCAGCTCTCCTGCTGTAAATGTTCTGGTAAACCATATCGCCTGAGAGATATTTAGATTTGGGTTCAACAAAGTCCAAACATAAAAAAATGTGCAGCATTTCTATACACCTGGACTCGCCCATGCCATAAAAATCTTGCATTAAACATCAATTCTGCGACAATAGTCACATTTTTCATGCACCTCTTTTTTTCCCCCTAACAAGTCAGCAGATGGTTCTTCAGCTCCAGTCCTACAGCTAGACAGCAGGTGGATCTGTCACTTGCAGTCAGTCTTTGTAGTGCATAGCTTAACATGGCAAAGGGCTCGTATTTCACATTCAAACACTGCTGCAATTCAGTAACCGCTTTCTGAATGAACATTTTCAAATACAGTAATCATGGCTATCATCATAATGCTGCTTCGACAGGCCTACATCTATTTTCAAGCTGCAAATTCGCCTGATATTTATAACAATCACGGCAGTCCAGACATCCTTTTCCCTTGTAGCTTCCTCCAGCTCCTCCCTGGGGGATTCGCAGGCGTTTTTAGACCTGCTCAAACATTCAACGACACGAGCGCATCCTGGATCAACCCTTCCAGGCAGCCGTAGTTGGGGTACCTTCAAAATGTGTCCAGGTGGCATCCTTATCAAACTATGTCCTCTTAATGCTGGTGGGGCAGTGTCTTGACTTCAAAAAAAATCTTCCTGACGCACTGCACCTCAACCAGCCTGTAGGTTAAACTCACTGTCCAAAAAAATCAGGATGCATGCCATCTCAAAGTATAAACACTGAGAAAAGATTTTGCTTTAGGCCAAGTCCGCTTTTAGAAAATCCAACATGCTGATACATTAGCAAGGACTGGAGCTGCCGTACATCAAATCCATTGGTGTCTCCAAGGCATGCTAAGGTGTGCAGCAAGAAACCTCTTCACCTCTCCTAAGTGCCTCTCTGAACGGCAGAGGGTTAAGCACGTCGGATCATGCTGTACGGGTCATACTGAAACATTTTCTAGAAAACTTTTGGCAGTGGGGTTGGATTCAGAAATATCACCTGGAACTTGTCTTCAGAGATTTTTTATTTAGGTGAAGTTCTCAGAAGAAAGGGCACTGTGGATCTTTGAAGGAAAATAGTCTCTGGCAATGATAGCTTATGGCAGCAGGAAAAAACAGGAAGAGGTGGTGTGTTTTTATACTCTACTGAATGAATGGATTCTTCCTGCTTCCTGCTCACTCATCGCTCATTATTTATTTGCAGTGCAAGAGGCTAGAAATCAGGGAGGAGTGGCTGGTGAATTGGAATAGATCATTTAGTTATGCGTGGTGATAATATCGATCTAGGGAACACTGTGCGTATAGAAGGTGTGGGTGGAAGCTGAGCAAGCTAATGTCAGCAGTCGTGTAATTTAAAACTCAAAAGGTGATGGGTCGGTGACTTTGGCAAATTGTGAGGAAGCAAAATCTGGATGCAGCGTGCGAGGAGGGAGGTCTACGTCAAGATACGAGCCACCTGAGCCTGAATCTCCCCATCGGGGTGTGAAAGCAGCTGGACGAGTCTGCTGTGGAGCTGGGAAGATTCATCCAACATGACCCGGAAGAGACAATCCTGCTTCCTCCTCAGTTCGTCGGCCACCTGGGCGGAGGGCCTCCAGGCCTTCAAGTTCCCTGCAAAGGTCAGCAGTCGCAGAAGCACCGCAGAAGCTGTTCGTTCGTCAAACAGCAGCACCACAGATGCTGGTGCCTGGGGCAAAGAGAGAAAAGAAGATTTTAAAAAACGATTTCAAACAAAACCTGGAATTCTGTCAAAAACAGACGGCCTAAAGGTTTTTACAGACCTCTTCTTAATACAGAGCCATGCTAGCTCATTTGCTGAATATTGTATAAAAATAGGCAAATTACAGCAGTTGTTTGATTTACATGAGGATGATCTGATAAGCTACATTTTCATCTCTTTGGTCTTACCTGAGCTTGAACAATGTCATCCATCATATCTGGATTAGATGACAAATTCACAAGGATTTTTAGCGTCTGAACCTGAAACACAAATATCACAAAAGGTTGGTAAAGCTACAATTTTTTAAATGTCTCACAGGCATAAATATTGAATAAATCTTTATAAAATGATTTAACTTTCATAGCTTTCAACCCAATAGACACAAACCTGTAGTGTTTCATTGCTCACAACCAGAAGAGACAGTAAAAGTGTAACTGACTCCTTCAGCAAGTGTTGATGTTTGTCTGTTACTGAAAGGTTGGTCAGCAGCCTCAGAGCACCAAGCTGAAGGTCTGAATTCACTGGTGACATCTCAATCAGTTCCAGCACCTTTGGTACATAAATCTGAGAGAAAAAAAAGAGATTTTTAGTGAAACAGATACATGAGAAAAAGGGTAAAGCAGCAACAGACCAAGTGCCAACTGTGGTGTAGAATAACGTATAAGGTGACGTACCTTTATGTGTTCCTGGTTTTGGATATTCATACACAGATTATTTAAAGCATTCAGAGCCTGCACTCTGAGCTCTGGTGCAGGATCAGAAAGGAGACCAGCTATGATATGAATCCCTTCAAATTCCCGTATTAGATTCTGAGGGATCAGTGGAGCAGGAGAAAAACATTAACTTCGAGACAACTGACAAAACACAGCAACAACAACAACAACCACCTAACTTTACAGCATTCAATAAATAGCATTGAAGCAACCAGCACTACTAATCTTAAGTAAGTATTTCTAAGACAAAGTGTATTTGAACAGCACCTGATTCACAGTGAAGGCAGCAGCATTTCCTAATGTAACAAGAATCCGACATCTGTCAGATGGATTATCGCTGGTCTGCAGACACGACAGCAGCATTTTCAGGTGCTGTGGCTCCAGGTTGTTGGGGGACTGGTGGATGATGTCACCTGTGAAGCACAATAGGACATAATCAACATTTACTGTTACTTCATGTGTTTGCAATGAAGCGAACGGACTAGTAGAGCTGGACGGTATGCAAAAAAGGTCAAAACAAAACAAAAAACTCCTATTGCAATTACACTGAATGCAAATATAAAGGCAGCATGACTTAGAGAAAAGGTAAAAAGTCCCATTTCTGGAGCTAAATTTAGCCAACTGGGCACAAAAAGCTTTTGAGCTGGTTAACTTGTGACAAATTTTAAACCATTGAGTTAATCCACACACTAGTCAGGTGTGGCTTTAAAAGATAACGATCAGATAGTGTGACCAGTACACAGACACCAGTGACTATAAAAAGCACCTTGATTCAAATGGCATGATGCACAGATGCCAAGAGAAAGATGAGAACGGACTGTCAGCGTATTGGAAGCTGGCATGTCAGCGAGGGCCGTAGCCAGGCACTGGAATGTCCTCAACTCCTCCATTTGTCGTCTAAGAAATTGTTTCAGACAGTATGGTACAGTCTGCCATGTTATCCTCTAAATGGATGTGTCCAAAAACGCAATTCACTGCCTGAAAATGTCCACCAGCATGACTGAGCCCTTCAGGAAGAGTGCGACAACATTCCACAAACCGGCATCAACAGTCTAATTTACAGATGTGTCATCCTACACAATGCCACTTGTGGTTTCTAGTGTATCACCCTACTCCTGATCTGTTCATCATCACTTCCAATATAGACTGTGTACTTGGTTGATTCATTTCGTCAACTCTTTTGTGGAGATGCTGTGCACAAATACTTATTGCACTACTTTAAAAAAGAATGACTGACTTAAATATTACATGCTGGGTTTATATTTTGTCTGGTACCTTTAGAGAGATATTCTGATTACACTTGGACACATTAGGATTTCTAGGATATTAACTGTTTAGCCCTGACTAGCACCTAGTTGTAGGTTTTTTGTTTTGTTTTTTTTACAGTCAAAGCTCTACATGCGAGTGCGTAAAGTCTTGATATTAAAGATGTCACAACATTTAGGGGATTACTATGGCTGCTATGAGCAAGTGGTTGCATTAAATTATCCTGGGATGTTCACTTTGCTGGAGCAGTTAGAGAAATGTGATTTACCTGCTGCGAGGACATTCCGGCTTTAAAGGCTCCTCTGGTTCTTACCTGATGCAGCATCCACCGGTCGGGGACAGACCACATCCAGTCCAGACACTCTGGCCAACAGGCTCCCCGGCTGTAGCTTCACTTCACTCTGCTGAGCGCTCTTCACACTCACACTTTCGCTGCTGGAACTTTTCTTGTTTCTCTTGAAGCTGATGAGTTTGTAAATCCCATAAGAAGCTCCAGCTCCGGCGACTATTCCGAGCAAAGCCTTCATGTTGCCGATCCTGGGAGTAATACTGCTGTCGCCCATGCTGCTGCTGCTGCTGTCTTTAGCTAAGCTCTGCTAGCTAGCTAACGTTAAGCTACAGATGCCCTGAAACGTTACGGATCCAATCTAGTAACTTACCGGCTAACTAACCTGGCTCATTAGTTAGCTAGCACCAAGGACAACCAATAGAAATTACTAAAAAGCCCACCCAAACACATGTTACCAGTTTCATTGTTCTAAAAACTGGAGAAGTTTGCGGACAAGCCACAGTTGTCAACAATGATCTGACCCGTTGTTCCGGCCAGCTTTAAGTGGCCGACCAAATCTTTCGCGGAGTGACGTGCGTGGATTTTTCCATCTATGATACGTAATCATTAAATCTTAAATTACATATTTAAGTGTATATGTACATCGTCATTCGGAGTAAATTTTAAAGCTGGTTATATAATTTATTTTCTACAACACAGGTGTGTACGAAGTTTGCAACGTTGACTTTGTATGTCACTTTTAAACCTTGAGGTTACGCTTTAGTTGTCCAACATTTAACGTTATTTGATTCGTTACCTGGCAACGGTGACTGTCCAAATGGAGATGGATTAACAGGCTAAATCTGACACACGCTAAACTGAAGCAGCATTTAATTAAAAATTCACGATATAAAATAACTAATGTGTAAAAGGATAAAAATGGCTGTGGCAAACACAGAGGCTGTTCTGAAAGAGTGCGATCTGAAACACTGCCTGCCACAACTGTACAAGGTAGGACAAGTATGTCCAGTTCAGTCACCGATATTTATAAAAGCACATTTAAAGGGACAGTCAACGTGATTTCCAATAGAAAATAATTTCATATTATATTTCACATAATTTTGGCTGTGTTAAATAGAACTTTACCTGTATCATAATACATATTAGGGTCATGACTTTACAGTATCATTATGGAGATTAACTTAATTTAAATATTAAGGTGAAGAAGCCACAGTGTTAATTATGTAGATTGACCTGATTAATTTAGACCTAATTGTAATTAGCCAACAGGTGAATTTGTTTGATGTTACCATCCACTCAGATCATCTCCAGTAATTCATACACTGCAAATACATTTCCCCCCCTGAATGTTAAAAGTCATATCCTAAATTGTATTTTCTTTTGACAACAGGGCATCCTGACAGCTTCATGTCTGTCATGCCCCAGTGACCCAATACAGTTTCTGAAGAACACTCTCATGGCCTTCCAGGGAAATGACAATCTACAGGCTGTTGACTGGTTTGTACACGCCCTTTCTCTTGTGACTTTTCTTGACACGAACACATGGTGGCTCACTTTCTCAAGTTTTCTTCTACTCCCAGGCCCCAAAGTAAAGGCAGGCGACCAAATGTGGACAAGGGGAGATTTTTGATTTATTACTTGTTTTTTTTAACCTTAGCTACTTTTCATCTCTGACCCCAAAATGTACATCACACTTCTGTTTAAAAATGCATCATGTTCCCGGGCTACACTATCTGATATCTGTGTGGATTTATGCAGATTATTTTAACTTTTTCAGTTATACTTAAAGTGAACTTTCAAAAGAGATATTTCTAGAGATTCCTACTGTCCTCAGCTCCTAATGTCACTAACTACAAACAGGAATAATTCATTTTTAGATTGGTGGACATGTATAAAGTAAAATTTAGAAAGACAAACTTTGTGTACTCACCAATTTGTGAACCAAATCCTTCAGTTTTTTGGTGTGAACTTTCTGTTTTGAGGTACAAGTTTGTTGCTGATGCCCAAGAGCACGCTGCAACAACCTCTCTGGCACGTAGGACTGTGGACACACACTACATGGGCCCGGATGACAACTTGGTACTGTATGGTTTAGTAACATACGTGTCACTGAATGTCATGTTGAATTCCAGATTTGCAAGACAAAATACTTAGACTGAAAGAGTTTGTGCTTTTATAATAATTTATATTGTATTTTCCTTTCTAGGAGTACTTTTTCCTTTTGGAAATGTCTTTTTACAGGAAAAGCTTAACAAGCTCTTGCTTCAGGTAAGTGTGCACAATTACAGTGAAGACCAACACATGAAGGTTTGGATAATTGAAAATTTCTTGAGGGCAGCTCTTTTACAGTTTAAATGTTAGAGTTGACTGCATTTGGTAATTGTGACAGGAAAATAAATGCCAACAAAAAATCACTAAAATTGTTGATTAGATTATCCCATGCGACAATCAAGACAACAAGTAAAAACTGTCAACTATTTCAGGCATTTACTAATAGTAGTGGATGTGTGGAGAAGACCAGAAACTCGACTTGCTGCTGGAAACTGATCCTAGTGAAAAGAAAAGAAGAAATTCCTTAAGCTCCTGTTTATAGGTGTTAAGAATTAGCATTCACAGTTAAACCAAAAGAAATGACAGACAATAGTTTTCATACAGACACAATCTCCAGCATTTTACTTTCTCACATCTATTTGGCTCTGAAGCTTACAGCTGACTTTGTAAAAGTCTCTTACTTAATCTGTATGATTTTATTTAGTTACCCAATCACATAACTGAGGAGCAAAAAAAAAAGAAATCACAGTTGTCATGTTTGACATGAGAAATGATTTCATATTTAAAAGTATCAGCTCCTGTGCACAGCAGTTATGTTCACAAGCAAAACATCTGATAATTTGTTGTCTTACCTTTTATTCTCTTCTTCACATCCTTTGGCAATGTCGGGTGTACATACATTGTCTTAGGGCATGTTCCAGTTAAATTTAGCAGTCATGCCATTAGCCTCCTGAGAAGGCCCGAAACAGGCAGTTGATACGTATGCTGTGGCCCTTGCAAAGCGGTTTTTGGACTGAAGATATGCATTTGCATACGACTGTAAACCCTTCTGGGACCTTCGAGAAGGAAGGTTTTTTGTGTTTCTCCAATTGACACAGTTTAAAGGAGGACCTGTGGGTACTGACAGCTGTTGAGAAGGCCAGTAGGCTAAGTTTCTGGGCGCTTTATTCATAGTGGATTGAAGTATCTGCATGTTGGTTGGTGGCACGAAGGTCTGCAGAAGTCTAGCTCTCATTGCAGCCACATATCCATCGTTTGGGGAAAAGCCTCGTCTTTGTGGTAGAGAAAATGAGCCCAGGGGGGTTCTAACTCGGTGAGTAGCGACCCCACTTTGGGTTGGATCAATGCCATGAGACGTGGTAATAGTTCTGTCATTTGGTCTATGAATGGCAGGAACTAGATTTTGATTGTAGAGATCTGGTTTGTGTCTGTGTCTTGCCCGGGCTGCTAGGCTGAAGGGAGCCTCGCTGACTTTCTGGTATCCAACATAGCCGTTGTGTCCTCTTGAGCCATGATATCTGGAGGGTTTCACAGGAAACACCAAGTGAGCTCTATCCATCTGATTGTATGGTTCATGCGGACTATTTGCTTGAATACCCACATGACCAGTCCTCCTCTGTGGGAAAAGGTTATTATAGCCTGAAAAAAGTGAACCAGTAGATGGAGGTGGGTAGACAGTGGACGCATGGTTCATAGCCCTATATTTAGGCAGAAGATCCAGGGTATAGTGATGACCTCTAGGTACATATAAACTTTTGCCATAGGAATTCAAATTTGGTGGCTTTTGTGGAATAAAGAAATCCGCTTGAGTCCCTTTATGGAAACCTGATGGTGTTTGATACCCAATTAAAGAGTCTTTACCGCGAGATTTATATCTGGGATCACGGATATTCTGCTCAGAAGTTGAAGGTGTTAGATTGGATTTCTGACTTTTAGAGACCGGGGAAGCAGAATTCTTTCCATAGAATGACCTTGTGGGAAAGAGTTTTTGTTTGTGTTGCTTATAGCTTGTTGACTCGGCGCGTTTATTTTCAGCAGCACTTCCGAAAAGCTCATTGTTTTCCCCAGGAAAACCACCATCAGGAATATTACTTGAAACAAGTTCATCTGGCTTTTGGTAGTTGGCACCCGGTCTCCTCCAAACTTCATTTTCACTGTCATCCAATGGGGTAGCATCTTCTTTAACAGAATCAGACCCATAGGGCGCAGAAGACTCTCCAACATTTTTCATAGTTTCCCGTGCAGTTTGGAAATATCGCCTCGAGTCACGTCCTGGTGTGAAGAAGGAGCTCTTCATAGATTTTATAAACCGTTCTAAATGATTGATTGTTGGGAAACTGACACCCTTCCCAGGGTCTTGTGTGTGTTTCTTCATTAAAAGGCTAAATGGATGGGGGTTTTCTGAACTTGAATGTTCATGTTTCTGCACTGAAGGGGTGGAAGAGCCCACTGAATAATCATTTGCATCACGTAATGAGTTTGGTTGACTTTGCACCTTCTCTGCACTGAGGCTAGTAGCAGGGCTGACATCTTCTCTGCTTTTCTTCTGAAGGGAAGCGAAACTTTGACGTCTCAAAGCTTGTGTCTCATCCTCATAGTTTTTGTTTGAAGGCGCTCCAGAATGAAACTGACCATGGGAATGTGGTTTCTCATAGTGATAGTAGCCATGAGCATCATTATAGCCTATCAAGGAGCAGACATGACTTTAAACTCTCATTGTTGGTTATGCAAATGGAAAAATACTGAAATTCTTACCTTTTTGAGCAGGAAAACAAATGCCGCTCCACAACAGGGTGCAAAGCCAACAGACTCTGAAAAACAATCAAGTTTCAGGGGGAAAAAAAACAAGTAAAAAGACAAATTTAGCAGAATATACAATTGCAAAATTGTATTTACCCAAGTGGAAGAGCCATGACAGTCAGTTCAACCACAGAGTTCACCTGAAGCAGTAACAACAGCAGACTGTTGATTCAACTACCAGCCCTGACAATAATCACTCATGTTCTGTCCTCTCTCTCATTTGAAAGCAAGCACTGGCAGGAAAAGGAGGGCGGGAGACACTAGGAGGGATATGAAGACTTTTCAGATTCTTCTCACACTGATTGCAATTAGGTGATTGAAGGCAGCTGGTGCTGTGTGAGGACCAGTGCAGTTAGACAGTCGCAGGTGTAGCGTTTTTGTAAATGTGTGTGTATATATATATATATATGAAACTGAGCCACAAAGTATTCATAAAACCAAGAGAGAGGGACCTAGATGTAACTCTAAGCAAGCACTTTCTCTGGGTCATTATTAACAAGTGGGCAAGTTCATGAGGATATTGTTTCACAGATTGCCTTTCACCCGTTCATTGTCAGTGCAGTCATCTCCACCATTAGCCTTTTGTCCTGTCAGTCACTCCTGTCTCAATGTCCAGTCCCGCTTAAGCTGAGAAAACATTACAATAAACCAATATGGGAGGAATAACAACTAAGGTTTAATGCATGAATGTTATTTCAGTGTTGCTGGTTCCTGCTGTGTCGAGTCAATGCAGGCTCCTGACAGCCTGCCTATGTATCTGTAAACTGAATTAATAATGAGCTGTCTTTGCTGTTGGGTGACAGGAAATGGAAGACGTTCACTATGCAGAGCAAGAGCGATACCACAGAGACGATTCTGAAGATGGATATGGCAAAGAAACACTCTGAGAAGAAATGCAAGCAAGCTGCATTTAACAAATGGTTGGACTGGGTAACCTTTCACAAGAAAACAAAGGCTGGTAGGTGACTGCTTAAGTTTTTCTGTGTGAAGACGTTGCAATGCGGCCTGCTGGTTTAACTAATGTGGATGAACTGTTTTTGCAAGTTGTGACTGTTATATGTATACAGCCAGAGAAAACATTCACTGTGGTTAAGCAATGTGTCCAAACTTTAAGTCTTTCCTCACCATAATTTCTTACCCGCTTTATACACCCACTCCTGTGACTCATTTTATCCCCAATGTTTCACTCAGAGACTTAATTCTGCTTTTCTAAGCTAAAAATGTATTTTTGTAACAAAGCACATGTGTTTTCCTCCTGGAAAGAGATGCCGAAATGCTTACTTGTTCTGTTCAAAGCAGATGAACATTTAAAACGTGTTTTAAATTGCTTTTCAACTCAGCTGCCATCAAGAAACTTGAGACTCTTGTGAACGCCTGGTGCCTCAGGCGCATCATAGCTGCATGGCATCAAGCTACAAAGGACTCAAAGAGGACAAAAGAGTACTTTAAGGTATGAAGTTATTTGGAGGTTTTGATGAAAACTATGATAAACGTTAATCTTCTCCATTAGTCAGTTTGTTTACATAAATCTTGCAGAGATTGGAAATGAGTTTTGCTGTCGGCCACAAGGATCAGCACACTGGAGAAAAACATGATGGACTCTCAGCGCTCCCCAGCAGCCTCTCACTCAAGGTAGTTCCTCTTACAACATGCAGCATACACGGGCCAATTCTCTTTGTAGATAGTGAGCCTGACTGCACAACAAGACGATAGCTCTGGTTTAAAGCTGCAGCAGCCTCATTCTCTAAGAAGTCAGTGATGAGATCATATCTGTTACATAAGACTTTAGATGGACTCCACTGTAAACGTACATCCTGTCTCTTTGAGAGCAGTTGATTACAGTCAGTTGCGGCTCATTATATTGCAGTATACATACATATATATACAATGTGTATTTAACTGGAAGACTTCTGTCAACAAGTACCTTTACTGACTCTGCTTGCACTTACCAGTGATAGCTTCTGTTTGTTTTGGATTCACATTTGCTGGCAAAGTGAAAGCACTTTTAACTTTTGTTTGCTCTGGTGTCTCTGTCCAACACTTCTCTCAATAAATAGTACTTCAACGTGACTATGTTTGGAGACAGACGGGGGCTTCTTGTTCACATCATGCTGCCTTATAAAGTGGCAGAGGTGCCACTAACCCCAGTGTGTGCCAACAGCTGGTTATGTAAAACTTAGGGGACTAAATATCAATTAAACGATCAGTATGAAAATTGCTTCCTTGCTTTAACCTGTGGATTAATTTTCTGTTAGACAACTTTTGGCATCAAGGAGAGTGTTCTTAAATTCTTTAAGTGTGTTACATATACGTGTGCACATCCTCGTTTTACCTTATTATAAAAACAAAATGGCACAAAATTCTACTGTAACTAATTACCTTAAAGTACTGAGATAATATTTAAATAGAGAGGAAATTAATTTGTCTGACCATCTTTTGCCTGAACCCTTTCTGAATTATCAGTTGTGTTTCTGTGATTTTTCCTCAGATCTTCCAGTATTTAGAGTTACGAGACTGGCTGAACTGTGCTGAAGTATGTTGCACATGGAAATCTATCATCCACTCAGGTACACTGTGGAGTCAGGTCTGTACTGAGAGTTTGCTTCTTATTTCATTTTAGTGTTAAGAGTTATCTTTGAAAGAGGAGTTTAAATGAGATTTTTCTCCGTGTTAGATCAACTTCTCTGCAGGTAAAGACTGGATAACAGACAGTACAGTAAAGCACATTCTGCGGAGCTACAGACCATTTGTGACCAATCTCAACCTGCGTGGCTGCTCGTCCCTAAAATGGCCCAGCTTCAAATGCATCAGTAAGTTTTGCTGGTCCTATTGCAAGGTATCTTTTTTTTTGTTAAATGCTTTTCATGTACAATACCCATATGTCACTTTGGTGTGCAGTGACCAATACAAATCTTGTTCTTTTTTGACAGTGATAATTAGTCAAAATGGTCAAAATGTTGCTCTTTTTTAATATTTCATCAAAAAGACAATAATGACAAACCATAAAAGCAATGAAAAAAGTTTTTTTTTTATCCATCTGATGCAGACTATTTTACAATACTGACAGAAAGTTAATGAGGGAGAAACAAAAAGCATTTTCAAAGTGAATTTTCACTTGAGTCAGGACAGCCTGATAATCTGGTATTTCTGCGGCATTCTCAAGTGGCTCGGCTCCTGCTCCTCCTCCAGCTCTCCCTGTGCTTCCATCGGTGTGTTCCAGAGCTCAGGGTCCGTTTGGTCTGAATCTGTTCTGCTGTACTGCCTCTCCTTTGGACACTCTCTGTTGTAGGAATGTACATACTCCTCCACACTCTCCCCGGTGTGCTCAGGAGGAGAGCGACACAGCAGGCCCGAGTGCTTCACTCCTGGGTGCAGACGTAGCCAGTACACCATGTAGTGAATGCTGGAAAAAGGGGGAGTTAGGCTTTTAATTATTATTTGCATTAGTCTGAAAAATGCTAGTAAACATTTTAGCAGAAGAACCCACCTGTAGTCACACACCCAGGGGTTTCCTCCCAGTTTGAGCTGCGATAGGAAATAGAGGTCTTCAAGAACTCCGTACTGAACAAAATACAGGCTGTTTTCTGACAAGTCCAGCTCACGAAGGTGCAAAAGCCCAGACAGGGAACCTAAGGGACACAGAACATCCATTCGTTTCTTTCTCCTCTCAGTATGGATATAGGCAGACAGACGTTTTGCTGCTCATGAATAACCAGGAAAAGTAAAAGCCAGTGATGCAATCAAACTCTGATAGGAATGTGCTGGCTGGCTTCAGTTTGCTGCACAGCGATCACTTTATGTCTTTAACTGTCTCAAAGTTCTCCACCATAAATAAAACTAATGCTGGATACGCAAAGATGGCAGAACGCCCACAATCTCTGAAAAATGAAAAATGGAAAACAGCAGTCAGCAGAGCAGTTGTATAACTGTTCTGTAACCTTTTGACTTTCCATATATTGTCTATCACACGAAGAAAAACATGCAGCATACGTGTGCAGGTTTTCTTCCTGGACATTTCAGGAGCTATGTAAGTTCTGTACACACTGTTATGTATTCACTGATTATGATGAATAGATATGCAGACATAGTAAGACGCCTACCTGTGTCGATGTGCTCCATGTTGTTGTTGCTGAGGTTAAGGGTTCTGAGGCTTCTTGATCCGTGAAAATCTTTGGCTCTGAGGTGACGGATGGCGTTATGGGACAGATCGATGTGAACAACATCCTCTGGAATACCTGTGGGCACCTTGATTAGACCTAAACATAAAGTAAAACAGGTTAATTAAATGGGTCACCCAAATACAGTGGATTATTTAATCTCTGACAAAAAAATACAGCTTTGCTCTACTCATGTGTTTAATATCTTTTTATAAATCAGAATGAAGGATTTTTCCATGTACACCACTTAAATTACTGCTCTAAGAAGTCGACTTCCACTCTGCAAGATCAGCTGTTAAAAAATTGGCATGAAGACAGAATGAAACTCTGCCTCCATCCATCACTTGAATTTGACACTAAAATCCAGGCCTCCTGCCAGTAGGAGGCACATTGTAGTAACACATCATTTGATTTAGTCTATTCTTAGGCAAAATTGAAATGTTTTCATGTTTAACTGACTTATTCTGGTACGTCAGCCAAACACTGGCGGTTTTTAAGTTTATAAGGTAACAAACGACTCAAAACTGGTATCAATTGGAGGTTAAGGAAGCTAGAGACGTACGACTTAATTTAAAACAGATTCCAAGCCAGATGTGTATGTTTTCTTATTTTATGTCTCACCCCGAAAATTCCTAGTGAAGGGGAAGTTTAGTCATCCCAGTCATGCAACACTAATATTTAATCATGAGCATACACACTCTCTGACAGTCACAGGTATTTTTCCTAACCCTTCTGTTACATAACAAACATATGTGATGAATTTCTCAGAACAGGGTGAGGTTTAGAGAACTGTACAGTTCATTAAAGCGGTTCACAAAAATAAAAGGTGATTGTGAGCTTGCCTCGGTTCCTGCAGTCCATCCTTATTTGGGGGAAAAGATAGGTGTGGCACAGTGCTGTAGCGTCTAGTTTGCTGCGAATAGGACTGGGCTCTACAGAGTCTGTAGGATCCGTTTGGTTGCCCTGTTGGCTGCCGGTCGCTGGTGACTCTTTGCAGAGTAGCTCGGGATCAACTTCCTTCAACTTCCTGTTTTTTAGCCTGATGGGTTCGGCACACCTAGCAGAGGAGATATTTAGAGGCTGATTGTTAATCTGAGACTCAGGAATGACGTGTGTGGAATCAGAGCAACGCCATGTGAATGCTTTTGGTGGAACCACTTACCTGGCATGATTTCCTAGATTACGGTTGCTTGGCACCTGAAGAGTGCGTACAAGACTATCCAATGGGCAGACACAGTTCCAGGGATTATCATATAAGCGCAAGTAGCGAAGGTTTGGCATTGGGATGAGAGCCTCCTCACTGAGTGTTCTCAGGCGGTTGTGCTGCAGCAGCAGGGTTGTAAGTCGAGTCAGGCTCTGGAAGGTGTCGTCCTCCACCAGAGAGATCTGGTTCTGCTGCAGGTCCAGACTCGTTAAACTGTCATATCCAAAGAAGGCTCCATCACGAAGGACTTTGATGCGATTGCGGGCTAGAAGTAGGTGTTTGGGTTCTTTGGACCACATCTTTGACATGGGAATGGAGGTGAGGCGTCGGTCCTGACAGTCCACATAGACCTCTCCAGATTCTGTCGACTCCGAACAGTTTGATGGCACAAACCTTAAGGAATCTGATCTGCTGTGACGCCCAGCGCCTTTTACCCTGAAGGTTTCCAAACACAAAAAAAATAATTTCAGGCTTGTCATAGTCTATGCATGGACGTTATACTCTTTGAAAAGTGGACTGTACACATTAGATCCAAGAGTAAATCCATACCTGTCCCTTGTAAGTTTATGTCTTGCTCCTCTGAGGCCTCTTCCCTTTCCTGGCCTTTTCGTCTCGGTCGACGGGAGCAGCAGGAGGAGCAGGGAAGCCAAGAGGAGAGAGGGGAACACTCGCATCTTGAGCCTTGCTGGAGTTGTATTTTCAGCAAGTAGAGCTTGAGCGAAGGCAGGAGTTTGTGATTAAAGTCTTCAGACTTGGAAACAGAAGCAATAGGTCAGAGGGCAACAGTGTTATTGTTGACGGAGAACAGCTGCTGTTTACCCTGCAGAAGAAGTGAGAGGCAGAGTATTACGTAGGAGATAAAACATACACCTCTTGTCCTTACATAATATAATAAACTCTGTTGTATCACAAGTAAAGTTCGACAATTGTTTTGAAGTATTTCCAAAACTAGACAACATGGTTTCACCAGTTATTTCTCTGAACTGTATTAATTATTTGTGCCTTTTTTGTTGTCTTAGGTGAATGCAGAAACCTCCAGGAGCTCAATGTGTCAGAGTGCTTTAATATCACAGTAAGGAAACGCTGTCGATGTTGCATCCTAAATGTAGAAGAAAATTCATCACTATTCTGTTTGTTAAAGTTGAATATAGACAGTTAATAAAGACACGCTAAACCCCTTTCTGGCATTAGATTAGTCAATTGATTTATTTTATTCAATGAAAATTAAGCAGTTTACATTTTTGCTGAGTGTTAATTCTGATTTTTGCAGTGCATAAAATCTGATAATAAAACCTTCTCACAGAACTCAATGTTACATTTGAATCTACTCCTTTTTTTTTTTTTTAGGATACGGTGGTTCAGAAGATTGTTGAGGGCTGTCCCTGCCTGCTCTACCTTAACCTTTCTTGCACACTTATAACAAACAAAACTCTACAAGAACTGTCCAGGTAAGCTTCCAGGGTCCAGAAAAACCATCTGAGATCAGCTTTTGTCACTAGATTAGATCCATGCTCTCAACTTTGGTTCACCTCAGCCGTGTATCCAAGTAATCAAAACTTTCTTTCATCATGCTGTTTCTCACTGAATTCCTGCAACTTATTTCCCAGAACTGCCCACGTTGTTGTAGCCCACTGCTGGCTTTTGTTTCTGAAATCAGTGTGGTCAGTGGCAACTAAATGATTTATGGGAACAGATATGGCACTGTTACGGTAACTGCTAGACTGTATGATTGTTTTGTTTATGGATTTGCGGGTTCAGGAGTTTTCTGTCGTTAGGTCACTCTCTCTGGTAGAAGTATTATGCAAAAATGTTTTGAAAGTGAGTCACATATTATCGCATAGGAATTCAAGGATAATAAATCTTAATTCAAAATGTGAGGCCTTCCTTGCAGAGTGTGAACTAAAATTGAACTTTCTTTTGTTAAGGAAACAACACAAAAAAAAACAACTATAATCTGCATAAAGTTACATGCACAAGTAAATTATACTTGGTAGTTTCTTATATCTAACTACTGACTTCACACAGGAGCTGTCTAAGCCTCCAGTACCTGAGTCTGGCGTACTGCCGCAGATTCACAGATAAAGGCTTTCTGTACCTGACCACAGGGAAGGGCTGGCGCAATCTCATCCACCTCAACTTGTCCGGCTGTACTCAGGTCAGTTGGTATTCTCCTCTCAGTCGGCACGCTCTACTCAGTTTCAGTTGTAGACAGGACACAGCTTTTTTTCCCCCTTAAGAGTCTGTCTTGAATAAATCCAGTCTCTCCTCTCCGTTCGCACGTGTCTGCTCTTGTTTCTGACTCAACACTGGTGAGCGCTCACGAATGGCTCAGCTCGTATGGACAAACTTCTGAAGGATAGGGAGAGTAAAAGGCAGCTGGGGCCAAGTGGAGGGTTGGGTTTATACAATCAAGTGTGGCCCACCCACTCACCATGTGTACACTCCAAAACATGGCACACGCACTGCAACGTAAAGCACACTTTCTTCCAGGAATGTGCGTTAGTTTGGTTCCAGATGTATGCTTTGACTTTATGGGGGCCCTGAAAAGTCAGAGAGCAAGGAAACCTGCATCCAGGAGAATGATTCAGATTCCAGTGTGGACTCAGATTTTCCTCTCTCCTCTCCTAGATGACAGTAAATGGGTTCAGATACATTTCTACTGGATGTCCTGCACTCAAAGAGATCGTGATCAATGACATGCCAACGCTGTCTGATAGCTGTGTCTTGGTGAGTGTGTTCATTTGTAAAACATTTCAGGTTTCACACAAGGTCAACACATCACTGCTCTGGAATGTTAAACCAAGACAGAAAAGATAAGGAACAAATTAAAAAATAATTCTTCACCACATGCATAATTTTTTTGTCCCCACACCCTTAACCCTTCCTGGCAGAGAGAAGTTTTACATTTCACTCTTTTCTAACAGGCCCTGCTTGCCAAATGTAACTGCCTGTCTGCCATTTCTCTGTTGGATGCTCCTCATCTTTCCGACATCGCTTTCAAAGCCATTGCCGAAGCAGCCAAACTGAAGACTTTCAGTACAGAGAGTGAGGTCATTTTGCATCCTGCAACTTTTATTTCCACATGCACATGAAAAGAGTTAACACTGGTCCAGTTATTCTCTTTTTTCTTCATCCAATGTGTTCGTTAGGCAACAACCAGCTCACAGACGTCAGCTGGAAGGCTTTGTGCAGCAACTCGCAAGGCCTCCGTAGACTCCACGCAGCAAAATGCCCCAGAATGACCGACGCCAGCCTCAAATCTGTGGCCACTCTCAAAAACCTGGAATACCTGGACGTCTCATTTTGCAGCAGGTGTGTGTGTGTGGTTGTGATAGCTGCAGATGTCACGCTTTTTCATCGTTTTGCTTGACAGAATGTGTTTGTGTTTCAGGGTGAGTGATGTTGGGATACAGTATTTGACCGAAGGCTCTTCAGTCACTAAATTGGAAGAGCTGAATATCAGCCACTGCAGTAACATCACTGATGCATCTGTCATGAGGATTGCACAAAGGTATGGAGTGGGATTTCACAGACACACACTTAAGAGCAAATTACAATTACTTATAGTTACCCTAACCATAACTACTTGCCTAATCTTAACCTTAAACTAAGTCTTCACCTAAAAATACAACACACACACACACACACACATCTTACTGTGGTCTGGTAAATAATATCACGCAGCAGCTTTTTCTGTGACCTGTGTGTGCACAATTTATCAGGTTTTGCAAACTGTACCATCTCGATCTGAGTTACTGCGAGAGGCTCACTGACTTGGCTGTGGAGTGGCTGAGTGGCAGCTCTGTCTGCTCTCTTGACATCTCCGGTTGCAGCATCCAGGATCAGGTAAAGTCAGCATGTTTGGTCTTGCCTTCACACATTCCTGAAAAAAACAACAACTGGCCATTGTGGAAGACGGTCTGTAACTTGATATTTTTGCATTTCTAGGGACTGGCTACTCTTGAGGGAATTCACTTGAAGAAGTTAGTTCTTGCCGAGTGCGTCTACGTCACAGACATTGGCATAGAGGTACAGATTTATGTAGAATTTCACCACAAGGCCAACTGTTTAGAGTTTTCAGGGGTCTCAGTTTACTTTCTTTTCCAGTGTTTCCTAATATCTCCAGCTGGCAGGAAATGCACTTGTACCAAAACTGTTTCCTAGTAAAGCAACTCGAAGATAGGAGCCAATAATTCTGAGTTATTTCATGTAGTTTTTCTGCCCGCAGGCAGATGTGAACAGAGAAAAGCATCGGTGTGTTCTTGTAGATATGGTTTCCCATTTCCTCTACGATCTCTTCTCATTCATTTTCTCATCGGTAGTATTTCAACTCACATTTTTCTCTCATTTTTATTGTTCCTCACGTTGGGCAGAAGCTGTGTAAGAATGTGAAAGAGCTGGAACACGTTGATGTTTCTCACTGTGCAGCTCTGACGGATGCAGCCATCAGAAGCCTTTCATTTTACTGCAAAGGTTTAGTCACGCTGCAGATGTCAGGTTGTCCTAAGGTATAAACTCACACAAACACACACATTCTCCCAAAGCCCTGAAATGTTAACTCGCTAAAGGTGAATGTGTTTTCCCCTTGTCATTTCAAGCCACATATTTTCTATTTTCTACCACCCTGCTTCAGATGACTGATATGGCAGTGCAGTATCTGACAAGTGGATCTCAGTACCTCCGAGAGCTTGACGTGAGTGGCTGCGTCCTCCTCACTGATCGCACAATTCGACACTTGGAAAGGATTTGTCCTCCACTCCGCTCCATCACGATGGCCTGCTGCAGTGGCATCTCCAGGTAAAGAGCACACTTAGAAAAGTCTGTCACTACTTTCTCTGTTTGATGTAAACTGTGTGTGACTTGTTATTTTTCTAAACTGTATTTCATGTCGTAAATCTAGGAGTAAAATGTAAAATTACTCAATGTGTGATTTGTGTATGTGTGAAACTGGAAATGTCAACACACTGTTTTCAAAAAAACTAAAAGTGGAATGCAAAGAGTTACAGTCCTGCATGAAAACGTTTACTGAACCATGTGTTGTGTGTTCCCTCAGGGCGGCTGCCTTAAAGCTGCAGTCATGTGTGACATACTTGGAGCACAGCAATAATGACCCCACGTACTGGTTTGGATACACCGTTGGCCAAATAATGCATCCATAACAAGACCCATCAGGACTAATGACACTTTGGAAGTGACGGAGCAGCACTCGGTGACAACAACTGCAGCAAGTACAAAAAGGATTTAAGCAGCAGAGACATTACACACCTGAGATAATCCTCACAAAAAAATCACATGGCTACAGTCCCGCATCACCGGATTAAGCCTCCCCTGTCTGTGGTTTCTGTTCTGTACAGAGGCCCTGACAGTCTTATGGAGGCGGCTGAAATATTGCTGTCAGATCCTGACAGTGGAATTTCCTGTGCTGTTCTGGCTTGCTTTTGATCGTATAGCTCACGTGCTGTTTCTACATAAATGCTAACACACTGTAAAGGTGGAAGAACTCTTTTATAAGTGAATTCAAATAGTTTTACTTTTCTATTTATGATTTATAGTGATGATATGGTATTTTTTCCTCACTGGAATACAGTGTATCAACTTTTATACATAGCTTTCAACTTTTTCTACACGATCAGCCATTGAAAGGCTCAAACTTCTCAATTGTTAGCTTGTTTTAGTATCTAAAATAACAAGTCAATGTAATATAAAATAGTTTAACTGTCCCATTTTGGTTGATCTACAGTATTTTCCTCAGATGGTGCTTGGAGTGACTGTTGTTTTCTGAATACGCTGGAATTCAGATTGATGACTGGTTGTAAAAGTTGCTGCCCTGTATGGAAGTCAGGCTTCCTTCCTTATCTCTTGTTAAAAGAAATAGTTCTAAACAATATCACTAGATGATGTTTACTGCTAACAAGCAATTATCACAAGCAAGTAAACTTTCAAAAAATACAACTTAGCAGTTTTCTGGGCTTTAAAACAGCATAACTACACGTGAATTTAAAAACCAGCTGGCCATCTTTAAGAGGAAGACATGAACATTGCACAAAGCACATTAAATCTGAGCTCACTGGTGTTGCTTAACCTTTTCAACAGCTTGGTTTTTGATCATATTTGTTTCTTTTGCTAAATTATGTGACAGTTTATGAACTGTCTGTGCACTTTAGTGTTCTTGATCAAAACAAACACCCAGAGACACACACTGGCTGCGTTCACATAGACACTAATATTCCACTAATTGTCAGAAAAATAGCCCAGGTGGAGTAAAAATGTCCAATTAGCCACCTCAGTTAAAAAAGATTAAGCCTGATCAGAAGGAATTTTCATTGAGATTGAGAGTGGTGGTTTGAAGCTTTTGATAAACCACTAAGTCAGAAAATATTACAGCCTAATAATAACCACATAAATGCTTAATGCAATAATTTCTTTCTTGTTGGAATACGTATATTCTTTCCACATGTGTTTTCCGATATATTCCATCAGTAAACTCTGTGAGAACAACTCTCTCTGCCACCAGTCTTCGCTTCACACTTTCAGTCGCTGACTCCTGGTCTTGGGCAGATGAAGGGGCACCAAGGTTACTGTTCCTGATGAGCTGTAAAAAGCCTGATGTAGTCTCCTCCTGTTTAAAGAATGCAGGAATGCTTCTTAGGTTAATCTTGGTCATTTTCTTCTGAATTAATTACATTTTCCTGACTCGGTTTTAAAAAAAAGTCTTGTGTTATATTTCTAGCAGATTGGAAGCTTCAGCACGACTTATTGATCTACTTTATTTTGCATCCATGGAAACTGGAATCTCTGATTATAATGGTTTCAAGTATGTTGAAGAAATGTTGTCTATGTAACCACGGCTACTGTGTCTGAGATATCTTAGAAGTTCTCAATATTCAGTGGTAACGTAAGAATTTCATGAATATTGACTCTTAATAATAAGAGCCTACTTAAGCAGTGTGGGGGCGCCAGAAGTGAAATATCTTTGCTATTTCATGCTGTTGTCACAGCTTTAGACTTCCAAGGACACACAGTAAACATTAAATAAAAATAAGAGCAAGCAAGTTTCTTTTTAACATTCAAATCAAAGTGACAGTTCGGCACTAGTCAACCCTGGTGTGCGCATTTACAGGATACTTTCCAAACTCAGTGGGGTATTTATGTACAAGTATTTCTAACACATATCACAACATTTGAAAAGTACTTTAGATTACAAGTCATTTTCTTATTAAATACAATAAATCCTGAGTATGGAGGTAAACATTTAAGCAGGGTAAAATAACATTCAGTCTCGAGGGGATGCAGTAAAATCCGCCTCCACGTTGACACCCACTGCAGTGGTGCAGCATTATGACTCTGGAAATCCTGTCCCTCAGGCCCCCAGCTTCAGGGACTCAAACCAGCTTTGTGTCTTCAGTCTGACAGAGCTTCTGTCTGCCTGAGCTTTTACCCACCGATCAGACTCTCCATTTATGTAGCCTGAAACAAACACAGAGCAGGGGGGGAAGCAGATAAACAAGGTGAGGCAAAATACAGAAAGGAAACAGAATGTTCTGTGTTTATTTACTTGTTGGAGGGTTTAGTTCATTAGCACGGCTCTGGTACAGTGACGTAATGAAGAGTTATAGCCTACCAGTAACTGTGGTGAGGCCTTCGGTGTTGTTGTTTTCTAGTCCATGCAGAACAACCTCCGGGCTGATATCCACCGATGCTCCGCGGAGCTCCACCCCAGCTCGTAACGAGGACGGGACACGCACACTTACGGCTCCTACGCCAACGAGGAGGCAAATAAAGAAAAAGAAAATGACTCAAAAGGTAGAAAGTCGTGGCTGATAAGGTGCATATTTGTCCCCATACTGAGCGTTTACCTTCCTGACTGTGGAGCTCAGCGCTGCCACCGTCCCCCACGTAGACATCAATGCCTCCGTTCTGAGAGGAAACCTTCAGGAAACTATTCGAACCATCTGCAACAGCAAAGGAGGCCTCAGGTGTTTTGTTTTTACCAACCACTGATAGATACCATACACAGGACATTACGCAATCAGTCGTCCTACTTACCTATAACTGTATCTCCAGAAATGTTCTTCACAGTAGTGTTACCTTGAAATCAATGAAGGACAAGGGCAGTATTAACTCACATGATAGACATCTGTGATTTATTGTCAGCCACTGGTAGTTAAATCATGATGTTTATCACTCGTAATAAGAATGTGAAAACTTTGGCAAGGACAGCCGCTGTCACAAACTGTACGTAACATAAACCTACATCACTAACAAGATAATTGTTTCCATGTATTCTACGATAGCGGGCTCATCTGTATCAGGAAGAAATTAAAATTCTATATGGATGACGCATTTTATTCTCCCACCGCTATAGGGCTGTTCATCTTTAATCATTTTTATCTCTACCTCAAAGAATTAGTCTTTTTACAACTAACTTGTTTTTATAGCTCTTTCAAAACAAATGACAAGTTGAGAAATCACTGATAAATTGCAACCACATTGCAGTTAAATCAACTCTGCTTGGATCTGAGCCCGGGATTCCTGGCGTACCGAGGTCCTGCTTTACCAAGCAAGTTAACATAAAGCAGCTGGACTTTGGTAGTAAAAGCAGCAGTTTTCCTGATGCGGAACTGTCCCTTTCTATAGTATTGTACCTGTGCATTTACCTGTAAGCAGCACTGTTGAGGGATGGATAATTGTATTAGGTATTCATCTAAAAAGTCACATTTTTGCACCCCAAAGTAATAAGTAACCACACGCCTGTTGGTTGGCAAGAAGACTATTTTAACCTGTTTTTTGGAGAAATAGAAAACACTGGATTTTTATTGGAAACAGAATGCAGTGACTGATCACAAAGGTAGATTCTGTTAAGTTTTTGTTTAAGGACACTTTTAGGACTCAGTGATTGACAAAAATGACTTGGAAAGACCTGTTCAGAATACAATGTCTTTATCTACATAATAACTAGTAACTATAGATGCCAAATAAATAAATAAATAAATAAATCACTCTCAAGTGTATCAGAGAACAAATATTTTAAAATGACAGAACTAAAGTCTTTTAGTCTTTGCTGCTGCATACACAGTACAGGATGCACTTTGTTACTTTCCGCCCGTTCCTTCTTTCTGCACTCAAATTTGGTTGCAACACAAACCACGCAACTGGTAAAGATGAAGTAGTGAAAGATGCTGCTGTTTACTCACCGTGTACATGTCCCAGTTCCACTCTGCCAGAGCTGGAGGAGACGCAGCTGGACTCAGCGTAGATGGCTTTGACCTTCAGAGGGCCGCGCTCCGTGGAAACGTTCATTGTGGTGCCCTGGAGCTTCTTCACATCCACTGCCTGCAAACATGCAACTCATCACTGCACAGGGATGCAGACAGGTCATTTTAACTTTTTTTTCTGCCTTTAAATCAAAAAAGGCAACATAAACCTCAGCTGCTAACACATAACGTTGAAACCAGAAGTTTACATACACTGTATAAAAAGACATATAACCTTTTTTTTCTCGCTGTCTGACATTAAATCAGACTAAACTTTTCCTGTTTTAGGTCAGTTAGGATTACCAAAATTATTTCTATTTGCTAAATGTCAGAATAATGAGAGAGAGATTTTTTTAGAGAATTTTTCATTACTTTCTTCAAAGTCAGACATTTACATACACTATCATTACTATGCCTTCAAACTATTTGGGAAAGCCCAGATGATGATGATGATGTCATGGCTTTGGAAGCTTCTGATAGGTTAATTGACAACAACTGAATTAATTGGAGGTGCCCCTGTGGATGTATTTTAAGGAACACCTCAAACACACTGCTTCCTTTTCTAACAACATGGAACATCTAAAGAAATCAGCCAAGATATCAGGAAGAGAATTGTGGACCTCCACAAGTCTGGTTCATCCTTGGGTACAATGTCCAGAAGCCTGAAGGGTCCATGTTCATCTGTTAAAACAATTTTACACAAGTATAAACATTAAGGGAATGTCCAGCCATCATAGCGCTCAGGAAGGAGACGAGTTCTGTGCCCCAGAGATGAAGTGTTTTGGTGCAAAATGTGCGTATCAACCCCAGAACAAAAGCAAAAGACCTTGTGAAGATGCTGCTGAAGCTGGTCAGAGAGTCATTGTCCACAGTGAAACCAGTCCTGTACCAACATGGGCTGAAAGGATACTCAGAGAGGAAGAAGACATTCTTCAAAAGCAACAGAAAAAAGCCAGATTACAGTTTGCAAATGCACACAGGGACAAAGACCTTCATTTCTGGAGACATGTCCTTTGGTCTGATGAACCTAAAACTGAACTGTTTGGCCTTAATGACCATCGTCACATTTGGAGGAAAAAGGGGGAAGCTTGAAGCCTGAGAACACCATCCCCACTGTGAAGCATGAGGGTGGCAGCATCATGTTGTGGGGGTGTTTTGCTGCAGGAGAGACTGGTGCACTTCACAGAATAGATGGCATCATGAGGAAAGAACATTATGTGGAAATATTGAAGCAGCATCTTAAGACATCAGTCAGGAAGTTAAAGCTTGGGCATAAATGGGTCTTCCAGATGGACAATGACCCAAAGCATACCACCAGATTAGCTACAAAGAGGCTTCAGGACCACAAAGCTAATGTTTTGGAGTGGCCATCACAAAGCCCTGATTTCAATCCTGCAGAAAACTTGTGAGCTGAAAAGGTGTGTGCAAGCAAGGTGGCCAACAAACCTGACCCCGCTGCACCCGTTCAGTCAAGACGAATTGGGAAAAAATCCAGCAAACTATTGTGAGAAGCTTGTGGATGGATACCCAAAACATTTGACTCAAGTCATACAGTTTAAAGGCAATGCTGCCAAATACTAAGAAAATGTATGTAAACTTCTGACTTTGAAGAAAGCAATAAAAAAAATCTCTCTCTCATTATTCTGGCATTTAGCAAGTATAAATAATTCTGGTAATCCTAACTGACCTAAAACAGGAAAAGTTTAGTCTGATTTAATGTCAGTGAGGAAAAAAAAGGTTATGTGTCTTTCTATACAGTGAATGTAAACGTCTGGTTTTGACTTTACATCAGGCTGCTGCTGCCCCTTAATGACTGCTGAAAATAAAACCAACAAGCCACAACAACACTGTTGTCCTTACACTGTCTCCACGTGTGCTGATGTCCACATTGCCATGGATGGTTCCCATGCCGGTAACATGTCCTCCATGGGACTGCACCTCCACCTGATGACCCTGAGATGTGACAAACAGTGAGGGGGGTGAATATGAAACACGTTCCTGAATGTTATAGATCCTCTTGAGTGAGAAACAACATCAGCAGCTCTACGACAACAGTGCACTGCCATCGTTTTCAAAAGGTTTGATTTGTAGAACTTTGAAATTAAGCAGCGTTTGCTTGTTAGCTCTATGACAAAGTAGTGAGTATTTGGGGTTTTTTTGTTTATTTGAATGGGTTATAGAGGTTTGCGAGGTTTAACAGGCCGTATTTCACCAAAACACTCAAAGAAAAATCAGGAAAAATATTGACAGTCGTTATAACCAGTAACCAGTAAGTGACAGTAGCATCATTTCCTTCACTCTCAGATTGTAAATAGTTTGGTTTCACTTTGGACAAAACAAATGCGCCCTTTTGTGCTATAAACCAACTAACACAGGTGTTATAGGTGGCACTGAATGGATTTTAAAATGATCTCCCTTTTTCAAAAACCCTTTTGAGGGGGTTTGTGTTTACAGACTTGATGGGTGAACTTTAGTCTCCTCAGCATCTTTTCTTCTTGACTATTTAAAGTTTGGTCACACATGTTACTAGAAAATAAAATGAATGAAAACAATTATTTCCAAGGCACACCTTTACATATAATTATAGCCCTGTAAATTATTATTAAAGAGACTAATGCCAAGGCACAGTGAACCCCTGCTTTACCTATTCTCTACTCACTTTGATATTAATGTGAAACATGAGTTAAACACAGAAAGAAAGTGGGATGACCTTCTTCTGCCAGTGACTCTAAAATCTCAAGACTATGTAAGTTCCCAATGTGTCAAGATCCTAACAACACTTCTGTTTTTTTGTTTTCTTCAGTAAAGATTCATTTATGTTGCCATCACCCACCTTGACAGAGTGCAGAACACAGTTGCCCTTTTCAGTTTGCACCTTGCAGATGTCACACTCCATTTTCTTCACTTGCACGTTGCCTTTTCCTTGAGTAGTAATGAAGAGATCTGACAAAAACACACACACTGAACTTAATGAAGACCACCAAGGACAGTGCACTGACTGAGAATGGATGTCAGGTCCTGGTGTAGAGGGTGCGGGTGATTTTCATCCATAACTGCATCATTATCTCACACTAGACACTCACTACTTTTGATGGGTGCAGCCATCTCAATGGACACGTCGCTGGTGACCTTCTCAGCAGAGATCAGCAGCTCTTTGCTCTGCTCATCGTAGTGGACGTGCAGATGATCCAGACCGACCTCCTGCTCGCTGCCCGTCCCGTGGACCGTGATGAAGGCTCGGTCAGCCTCGGGGTACTTGTGCGGGTCCAGCGGGCGGACGGAGATGTTGCAGCCCAGCTGTGCCCGCACCGTGGTGAAGGGGCTCACGGCCAGAGCCCACCGCCTCAGGGACGGCTGCACCTCCTCCTGTGTGGGACACCTACCCGGAGCGGAGATGGAGAAGGACCGCGGAGTGCGCTGCAGAGGACACCGGGGCACGGTGAGAGTCCTGCGGCTGAGTGTGAGGGACCAGCAGCGGTGGAGTCCGGCTGATCCCCGCTGACCTGCTGAGCTCCAGAACATGTCGGTGACCTTCAGGTAAAGCGGCTCATCCACACTTCACACTGCTGCTGGAACAACAACACAAACCACCGACATACACACGCTGTCATTCAGTCAACATGCGCTGTTACAGCTGCAGCCATGATCACAACTTTCCTCAGTTTAGTTTATGCAACAAGATCCAGCGCTTCCGGTGTGAGATTTCAGCATAAAAGCCTCGTTGCATCTGGTATAAAAAGTACTCTATAAATGTAGAAATAATATGAAATATAATATATAATCCATGTTCTTGCAAATATATAACAAATCATGCAGGTATCAGGAATTAAATTTTTGATCTGAATCTGGTGTTACTTTATTTTCTGCAATTAAAAACATTTTCTTGACAATTATATGACCCCTGACGTACCTTCTGGGTCTTTATTAAGCCCAATGTGCTCCCTCTTTGTTTTCAGGATACACAGTTTTATGCTGAATAGTACCAGCTGTAGGTTTGTTGTGTAGCAATTTGCTTAAACAAAAAGTTAATGTGGGTGTATGCAAAATGCAAACACTGATCTGATGTAATGAACTTCCTAGATGCTGACATAGCAACCCGCTTTAAGAACAGGTGATTAGAATTTTCCCAATGCATGACCTTTATAAGCTAATTAGCCCATATAAACAGGTGACAAATTAAAGGAAAAAGTTGAACCAGCGACCCTTCTTTAAGATCCGGTGGCTCTGTTTGGCAGAGGGCGGCATTTTGATGGCATAGTTCAGGTCCACTTGGCCCCTTACAGGGAAGAATTACTACAAGAAATAGAAAATGTTCTGACTGATCACCTTTGAACATTCTGTCCTGATGGTGGTCTCTTCCGGGATACCCCGTCCATAGGGTACGAAACAGATGCTGTGGCCTTCACGGTCACCAGATCTCAACCCAGTTAAGAATGGACATTTTGGACCAATGTGTCAGACAACCACATCCACCACCATCATCAAAACACCAAATGAAGGGAACACTTTTGGATGAGTGGTGTTCACCCCTGCAGTAGAGTTACTGAGACTCGGCACACTGAAGCTGTTTGGGAAGCAAATGGTGGCCCAAAACCTTACTAAGACACAAGAATTTCCTTTGGGATTAAAAAAGCTCCAGGTTATCCTATCTTATATTATCATGGGTTTTCCTTTAATTTGTCACCTGTCTTTATGTTCCTTAAAAGTAAATATTCCCAAGCAAAACATTTCGTGCACATTAAGTCTGAACCTTCAGAGCAAACAACACTTTTGCAGATTCACTTTTTTATTGTTTTCATTTTTTTATGTTGAAAGTGTAATTTTTCACCTCTGCTCTCCCTTCCTGTTACGCGACTGAACTTGACAGACCGGATCTACAGTCTTGTATAAACCTATACCCGCCCCTCTTCTGGTCTTGTCCAATCAGCAGGCGTATGTCGCCGCAAAGGCTGTAGGGAATTTGAGTCTGGAGCGTTTCCTCGTGTCCAAAACGGTAAAGCAGCAGTTATTCCAGTGATGTTGGTTCAACTGTATTCGCTCTTGAAGTGGTTGACAGTTACCTTTTATAGGACAAAAATACCCAAACATATGCAAAGTTTTGTGTAAATTAATTTTATTTATTTTAACAAAAAGAGACGTAGGCAATTCTAAAACATCCCAAACAGCCTCAATCAACAACCAAACTGGCCTTCCAGTACTGCAATAAAAAAAACACACACATCTGTATTTCTGCATACCCGTCAGATTCAGTCTATCTTTACTGATATAAAAAATAACTCTTCACAGGAGGATTACCCCCTAATTGGGCAAATTCCTCTCTCCACAAAAAAATGTTATCAAGATATAATATTAAAATGTTATAAAAGTTACGATGCAATCAGGACTGTGACCTCTGTAACTATTATGTACATCCTCAATTTCTGTCATATCATCCTGTAAACAAGACAGCATTTGCAGAATCCGTCACCACAAGGCGGCAGCATTGTGTTAATAGCTGGTAAATAATTGCAATAGACCTTATGGAGTATTTTAGGAGCTTATGGTTGAAATTTAGCCCTTTGATGCTTGTTTTCTTCTCTAAAGAAAACCCCTGGAGCAGAGTCACAGCTCACGGTGCAAAGCCCTTTGGTCTGATCATCATCCGGACTGATTTAAAGGACTGTCTGTCATTAGTGGGGTAATACTCTGAGGATATGTTGTGCCACGTCCCCCAGAAGATCCCATCCCGGACTCCCTTGTATCTCCCCACATAGTACCTCCCGTTCAGGTTTGCAGCCATGCAGGCGTCGAACCACCAGCCGGAGCTGTAGTAGACCCCGCAGTTCCCGGAAGGATAGCGGTCGTGGTCCCGGTCCGGGGTGGTGAAGGCCCTGTTGTTGTGGTCGTACCTCTTGTTGAAGCGGAGAGCATCACCTGCGGTGCCCGAGTATCCTCCCACCGTCAGCCGGTAGCGCAGCCGCTCGCTGGCCACCCTGAACTGCTCGTACTGCGCAAACTCCGTGACCCCTTCAAAGTCCTCCAGCTCCACGCGCAGCGCCATGTCCCTGTCCCGGGTCAGCAGGTGCATCAGGTTGTTGCCCAGCCAGAACTCCCCTCCGTCCAGCTCCCCGAAGCCGGTCTGGTACTCCGCCCAGGTGCGGTTGAAGCTCACGCTGCCGTCCTGGCGGCGCTGCAGCACCGTCCAGCCTCCGCCTTCCCGCTCCATGTCGCAGAACACCGGGAAGCTCCTGCCCCGGAGGTCAGGGGTCACCAGGTACACTCCGCTCCGCGCTTCTCCTCTGAGCAGGTGGTCCGAGCAGTCTGTGGAGAAGAGGGGGGAAGAAAATGAAAGAAATTACAAAGAATTATGAACTCTGTTTTTTTCTCACAATCCTCCAAAAGCCTTTAATCTTCTTCATTTCTGAACTGATCCAACTGAAGTCTTGCCTTTGCTCATATACCTTGCAGGTGAAATGATCCTCTCACAGCTGGAATGCGACCGTGAAATGTGCTGGAGGAGGTCACAAGTGCAGCAGGTCAGTGCAAAACTACCTTTTCCACAGTAAAACAGAGTTTTCACGACTTTGAAGGTGGACCTCCGCAGTGGACGCACACATAGCGTTCAAAATCCAAACTGTATTTAGGAAGGGCAAGTTTACGATCTGCGTGTTTTTGTAGTTTCCTGGAATGTTTGGATTAAGAAGATCCAAATGTGGAATATGATTCACATTAAAGGAATAAGTGACCAGATTATGTCTTCAGCTGACTTCCACCTGCAAGATGTGGAGTCTGGTAGTTGTTATTTTAATCCATATGAATTCAATTTTTGAACTGAACAAATTATTAAATTATTGTGTTCACTTTACTAGCCACGCTCCACAGAGGGATGTTGTAAAGATGTCGCCCTCTGCATAGTTGCGGTTTTATCCTCATGACACTCGTGCAAGGCCGCACATTTTGCACACACATGCAGATTCCTCCTTTGATAAGTGTAAAGATGATCTCAGGCCGCATAATTATGTTATAGGTTTTCATGTGACGATCACTGTGTGGTCCTTCTACTTTAAATCCTCTGGGCTCGGGTCATCGTCAGTTTGCTTTTTTGGAATATAGTTACAAGCACACAAAGATATTATTGCACAGCAGCAGTCTTCTGTCACACTAATTATTGTGAAGTCATATAATTAGAAGATAATCGATTTTAAATTTCCATTCTATTCTCTTGTGCCTTTTTAGTCCCAGTTTAATTTGTCTGTTTTGTGTGGGGAAACACCAGCAATTCTTTCAGTTATCTGCCAGAAAGGTACAATTATCCTTGTTTCTTTCCCCCTTGAACCTCAGCCCAAGTGGTCGAGCTGTTTTCGTCTCTTTCTATTACAAAAGAGTTCTTCTTCTCCACTGTAACCAATATGTTTGCTCAAAGGGAATTTCAGTGGTCTGTTGGGTCTTAACCCTAATTTGTGAATTTTTCCACGTAATTTGCTGTGGCCCTGCCTTCGCCCTAAGTCGGCTGGGATAGGCTCCAACCCCCCCGTGACCCTAGTGAGGGTTAAGAGGTGTACAGATAATGGATGGAATTTGCTATGGTATGTCATATTTTTATATTTTTAACCTAAATATACAAGTCAGTCAGATACATTTGGATAAGAAGAATATAGGATCTTAACCTAAATTTTTTAAAGTACTCAAAAAATATTGAATAGGCTCAACCTTAATATTTAAATAAGTCAGACAAATTTGTAAATCGAATATCATTATAGCGTTTTAACCTTAATAGTTACATTAGTCTGGTAAGCATGAATTATACATAATATTATAGGGTCTGGCCTTAATATTTAAATTAATCAGGGACATTTGTATTATAAATAAGACTGTAGGGCCCTGAGCCTAATACTTGCATGAGCAAATTTGTATAATAAATAAGATTATAGGACCTTAAATGTAATATTTAAATTTGTCTAGTAAAAGTGTATTTTATATAATATTGTAGAGTCTTAAGCTTGTTTTAATTCGTTAGGTAAATTTGTATAATAAATAATATTGTAATGTCTTACCTTACTAATTAACATTATTAGATACATTTGTCATTCTGTTGAAAAGCACTTTGAGTCAGTGTCTGTTGTTTTTAAATTTGCAATATAAATAACATCTTGACTTGACATTTACATTTTTCTCTCAGGTGATGCAAATCAGGATAACTTGCACAGTATTCCCTGTATATTATGCGTGTAAAACTCAGAGACAGTACTAGATCACTGTAAAATCATATCTCTTGCCTTTGGGAGGTGTCAGTGTTGGCACTTTGCTGTCTGTCCTGTCAGGCCTGCTGCCGCCCTGGGTGTCCTCGGGCTGCTCTTTCGGATGCCTGTGCGGTGGTCTTCCGTTTGGATTCAGGCTGTTATTGAGGAAAGCAGCCACCTGGTTGATTTTCACACGAAGCTCACGTGCACTGGGAGTGGAAGACTCTGCTGCCGGGGGCTCGGGGCCAGAGGTGGCAGGGGTTGTTGACCTGAAGTCAGGGCTGAGTGTGGAGGTAGTTTGGGGACTGGGGGAAGGGACTGGGCCTGCAGGTGCTGTTTCCTCCACATTGTGAACTATTTCAGCTTGTAAGCTGGAGTCAGATTTGGGAGTTAGAGTTGGCTTGGCGAGACTTGGCCTGTTGTTAGGGATAACACTTGGGAGGATCCTACGCATGATTTTGTTTGGTCTTGTTGTCATTGGGATCGATGGTGGCTGACTGGCTGTTTGTGGCCTCAGATCAGACATACTCCTGCTGTTTGGGCTCGTTGTGAAGTCCTCAGGCAGAGTGTGAAGGTGAGGGGAGGCTCCTGTTTCCAGACTGTTGGAGGTCTTTGGAGCCAGAGTGATAGTTTTCCTCACGCTGGGACTGAACTCTGAGTCCCCTGGGGAATGAGTCACCTCAGTAATCTGTTTTGCAGGGCCAGCTGTAGGTGGCACGCCAGTTTGAGAGTTTTGGACGTCGTCTGAAGTAGTCCAGCTGATTCGAGTTGGATTTAAATGTGTTTTGGTCTTTGCATTTGGCTTTGGTTGCACTGCTGGTCTTGGCCTTTGATTGGGTGTTGCTTCTGGCTTGACTGCAGGTCTGACTGGTGGTCTGTATCGGGGGGGAGGTCTGGGTTTGGGTGCTTTGTCTGGCTTTGCTTCAGGGACTGCACCAGGCACAGACTTGGCATTAACATTAGGGATTTGGCCCGGTCTGGGTGTGTTAAGGCTCTGATTGGTTTGTGGTGCTTGGTCAATTTTACGATTTACATTTGGTTTCGTCTTTATTTCTGTCCCAGGCCTTGGTTGTTTTTGGTTTGGTTTAGGCACTTGGCCAGGTTTAGGTTTTTGGTTAATTTTAGGGAATTTCTGGCTGGGTTTGGGCTTTTGATCAGGGGATGTGTTATTTCGATATGGTGTAATTTTCTTTCCAGGTGTTAAGTCTTGATTAGATTTAGGCTCAAATGAGGGATTGACATCAGATTTCACCCTGGACTCAATGAGAGGCTTTTGGTTAGGTTTTGGTGTAAAACTCTCTGTTTCACTTGTTTTCGATTCAGGCTCTTGGACGGGTTTTCTATTTGGATTTAGTTCAAGCTTTTGATCAGGTTGTGTTTCCTTATTGTTTGGCTTTCTCGCCGGTTTTTGTTCTGACTCAGCATGGTCAGATTTGACAGGATGTTTTTCCTCAGGTTTTGAGTTTTGATTAATAATTGAGGTTCCATCAGACTCATGTGTTTGCTTGATAACAGGATGTTTGTCAGAATGGGTTGCGTTTACATTTTGAGGGGATGTAGGTCTCTGGACAGGAGTCACAGACTTTGAGTTTGGCTTTTCAACAGGTAACTTGTTCAACTGATCAGGTGACTGATCAGGTGTATGGTCTTGTTTTTGTTTGGGTATTGGATTATTTTTCTGATTTTGATCGGTTGGTAAAATATTAGGTGGAGTTCTTTGATCAGGTTTTGAAATCTGATCTTGTTCTGGGTGGTTGGCAGGTTTGGATCGGTCAGTTGTGGGTTTATAGGGAGAAGGCTTCTGCTTTTGGTCGATTAGAGGACGTTTGTCAGAATAAGTTGCATTTACAGTTTTAGGTTTCTCATGGACAGGAACCACAGGTGTTTCATGAGATTTTGGCTTTTGATCAGGTAACTTGTTTTGATCAGGTTTACCGTCTTGATTTTTCTGATTTTCATCAGTTGAAGGATCAGGAGGAGTCCTTTGGTCAGGATTTGAAATATGATCTTCTTGTGGGTCACTGGCAGGTTTGGATTGGTTGGTTGTGGGTTTGTAAAGAGAAGGGTTCTGCTTAATTAGAGGATTTTTGTCAGAATCGGTTGCATTCACAGTTTGAGGTCTTTGATGAGATGTAGGTGTCTGATCAGGAGTCACAGGCTTTTGGTGAGATTTTGGATTGGGAAGAGGTGACTTGTTTTGATCAGGTGTGTGGTCTTGGTCGCGTTTAGGTGGTTGATTGATTTTTGGGTTTTGATCAGTACGGTCTTGGTTTTGATTAGGTATTGGATTATTTTTCAGATTTTGATCGGTTGGTAAATTATCAGGTGGAGTTCTTTGATCAGGTTTTGAAATCTGATCTTGTTCTGGATGGTTGGCAGGTTTGGATCGGTCAGTTGTGGGTTTGTAGGGAGAAGCCTTCTGCTTTTGGTCGATTAGAGGGTTTTTATCAGAATGGGTTACGTTTACAGTTTTAGGTTTCTCATTAGATGTAGGTCTCTGGACAGGAACCAAAGGTGTTTCATGAGATTTTGGCTTTTTATCTGGCAACTTGTTTTGATCAGGTCTATGGTCTTGATTGTTAGGAATTGGATTCTTTTTCTGATTTTGATCAGTTGGTAAAACATCAGGTGGAGTTCTTTGGTCGGGTTTTGGAATTTGGTCTTGTTCTGGGTCACTGGCAGGTTTGGACTGGTCAGTTGTGGGTTTGTAGTGAGAAGGCTTCTGCTTTTGGTGGATTAGGGGATGCTTGTCAGAAGTTGTTGCGTTCACAGTTTGAGGTTTTCGAGGAGATGTAGGTGTCCACACAGGTGTCGCAGGCTTCTGGGGAGATTTGGGGGTTTGAAGAGGTGACTTGTTTTGATCAGGTCTATGGTTTTGGTCCTTTTTAGAGGTTGGAGTGTTTTTCAGATTTTCATCAGTTGGTAAATTATCAGGGGGAGTTCTTTGGTCGGGTTTTGGAATTTGGTCTTGTTCTGGGTCACTGGCTGGTTTGGACTGGTCAGTTGTGGGTTTGTAGTGAGAAGGCTTCTGCTTTTGGTCGATAAGAGGATGTTTGTCAGAATTTGTTGCATTCACAGTTTGAGGATTTTGATGAGATGTAGGTGTCCACACAGGTGTGACAGGCTTTTGGTCAGATTTCGGACTTTGAAGAGGTGACTTGTTTTGATCAGGTCTACGGCCTTGATCGCCTTTAGATGTTGGAGTGTTTTTCTGATTTTGATCAGTTGTTAAAATATCAGGCAAAGTTCTTTGATCAGGTTCTGAAATTTGGTCTCGTTCTGGTTTGCTAGCGGGTTTAGATTGGTTGGTTTTGGGATTGTAGAGAGAAGGCTTCTGCTTTTGGTTGATTTGAGGATGTCTGTCAGCATGAGTTGCATTTACAGTTTGAGGATTTCGATGAGATGTAGGTGTCCGAACGGGAGTCACAGGCTTTTTGGGAGATTTTGGCTTTTGAAGAGGTGACTTGTTTTGATTAGGTTTGTGTTTCGGATTGTTTTTCAGATTTTGATCAGTTGGTAAAATATCAGGTGGCGTTCTTTGGTTGGGTTTTGGCATGTTACCTCGTACTGGGTTGTTGGCAGGTTTGGATTGGTCAGTCGTGGGTTTGTAGAGAGAAGGCTTCTGCTTTTGGTCGGGTTTTGTTTTTTTGTCAGGAATAGGAGCTTGGTCGGATTTACGGTCATTCTTAGGATTTTTCAGCTTTTGGTCCGCTTCAGGCTTAATTCCAGGTTTATGTGTTCCACCAGACCTTGGTCCTTGTCCTGGCAGTGGTTTCACGCCAGCCTTGGGGTTTGTGCTGATGTTCTTTTTAGCTGTCCAGCGGTTGTGATCTGTAACTCCGGGGAATGCCGTTATGTGTAAATTCTGATTAGGAGCTGTGGTGGTTGTAGTTGAGCTAATGTGACCCTGGATGCCTGCCTCAGGCCTTACCTTGGATCCAGAGTTGAGTTTAGTAGTGGCACTGGTTTTCTGCCGTCCAGGGCCACCCAACGTGCTCATTGTGGCTGTTGTTGTATCAGACTCTGCATCAGGATGTGAGGGCTCAGAAATAGCAGCTGCTCCGAGGCCTGTGCTTTGGGTTGGTCCATAAGCAGTTATTGCCTCATGACTTGCATCTGTGATCAAATCTAAAGTGGAACTGGGCAGAGAAAGAGATGGAAGAGATGACGTAAAGATTGTAGCTTTGTTTGAGTCAGGCCTTGAGGCTATGTTAATGATAGACCGAGGAGTTGGGCTGATTGAAACAAAGTCTGTCCTTTCAATTGCTTTGTTGGATGATAACTCTCCATCACTGTTTCTCTGCACATTCTCTGTTTTTTCGTCTTCTGTCTTGATCTCCTTTCCCGTCTTCCTTTCCTCTTCCTCCACCTCCCCCTCTTTTATAGTCCTCTCTTTTTCTGTGCGCCTGATGCTTTCGGTCTGTTTTGGTTTCTCATTATTTTGCTGCACTTTTATTCCCTTTTCCATTTCCTGCTCTTGCTCCTTATTTGTATGCACACCATGACCCGTAGACATCTTTATTTTATCACTGCCTTCAGTCTGGGTGTTTTTTTCGGTTTCCTCTGTTTCATCTTGCCACACGTGAGGTTGCACCTTTCTTTCTTTTCCACTCTCCTTATCTTCTTGCGATTGCTTATGATTCTCTGTTCCTGCGTTTTCTTTCTTTTTGTCTGTCTCTCTCTCCCTGGTGCTTTTGTCAGCAACCTTTTCCCTCATTATATCGACTTTTCTCTCATTTCCACCAGCAGTTGGCACCTTTGTCTGTCCTAATTTGTCCTTGCCTTTTGCCCCCTCTGTCTGAGTTTTTCCGTCCTTTTCTGCCACTTCTGTCCGAGTTCCTTCCTTCTCTTTTTCTTTTATGACTCCTCTATCGCTCTCTCTTTCTGGTTCCCATTTTCCTCTTTCTTCCTCCTCCAGAATCAGCCTGTTGTCTGAGTCGCCATCTCCTTCCGTCTTGTCCACCTTAACTCTATCTTTTCCAAACTCTTGTCTAAAGTCTCTGTCATTCTCTTGAAGTCTCTCATTCATCCAGTTCCTCTTATCCTCACACCCATCCTTACCCTCATTCAGCTTCTCATTCTCTCTTTCCCTTTGCCTCCCACACTCTCTCTCAGTTTGGCTTACTGTACAGTCTGCACACAGCTCCCTCAGTTGATCCACGCTGTCCTTCAGCTTCTGCAGGTCCTTCATGATCTTCTCCAGCTCTTGGAGCTGTTGTGGCAAATGAACAGTCAGCGGCGGCAGGCTGAATAGGTAAGGGCAGGAGCTCTCATCCTGTCTGCACGGCCCGTCGGGTCTCAGCGTTGCAGCGCAGGGCCCAAATCCTTTATCCCCCAGGAGGAGTCCTTCCTCGGAGTCTGCTGCGATCCAACAGAGACTGGAGAAGGCCAGCAGGGTCCCACATACCCGCAGTGCTGTTAACCTCATCGCGTCCCGAGAGTAAAGAGTGAAGGCAGAGTAGGGAGAGAGTGTAAAAACACCCACCTCAGTTTGTGAAGCGCAGTGACAGTGAGAGGAGGAGGTAAGGTGGGAGGAGGAAGAGGAGGGAGGGGGAACTGATGGAGCTGTGCCTTGGAAATCTGTGAGACGCTTTAAGAGGGAAACAGGTGAAAAAAAAAAAACAACAGAAAAGTAAGAGGAGGACTGTGCAGATTCTTGATAGATGCGGTGTGTGATAGAGGATGATAAGCAAGAAGCGTGAGGAAATGATAAAACATTTCTACTTCGTAATGTAAGCAGAATTAATCATAACCGTTAGAAATCAGTCGTGAAGAAGTACTACAAATCACAAAGGCTTTTGAAAGCGTGCCTCTCATTGTAATCCCATTATTGCATTCCAATTTATCCTCATTCCAGTCACATCATTTAATGAGGACCATTTGTAATGCATTCTCACCCCATGCTGTAATGATAAATGTATCACGGACGTTAATATGCATGTGTGTCACAGTTGCTTTGGCAGCCGCTTCCCGGGCTTCCTGTTGGTGGGTCCACAAACATGTGAGTGACAGATGTGACAGTGCAGAATATGCGATTGAAGCAAAAATATTAACTGCTGGGCCTGAGCCAGGAGATTGTCACTTAGATTTGTAAGGACGTATTTCATTTTAGCGTAAGCTGTGCGGTTTAGTTGAGCTTCTGCGTAATGAAAGTCAGGAATGTCAGATTTATCCAAGAAGACCGCTTGATTCAGATGCAAAGCCAGAAAAGAGGAATATATCATGTACTATTGACATTATTCGGACAGTGCTAATCCCCAACAAGTGTCAGGAATTGGTGAAGCAATCTCTGGGTGGAGAGGCTAATCTCACTGCGTACAAACTGTCCGTGTTCATCTAAGATTGAAGATTGGGGCTGGGGGCTAATTTTGTTTTGTCTACATATAGTCAGAAAAAAAAGAAAGAGAGAAAACACAGTCACATGAACTAAATGAGGCATCTGCTTGGCAGGGAGTTTAGATAATGAGGCTTTAGTTTCCCAGACCCTGGGTGTAAATGTCAGTCCCGCCACAGGATATGAGATATGAGTGATAGCATGTAATGCCAGTGTTTGATGTTTCAGAAACTGTCCATTTTTAATGCTTGTTAGACCACTTAAGTCGTCTTATTTTTAGACTGAAGCACGACCTTTAAGCAGTTTTGCTCCGTCTCTTTTACTGTCTGAGAGATTTCTCAGCTGTCCTTTAATAATGACAAAGGAATCCATTTGTTTGGGGAGTGGAGTGAGGGGAGCATTGGGTAAGAAATGAAAAAGACTTAAGTTGGAAGAAAAATACTCAATTTAGCACTTGACTGGCCTGCAAGTTCATAAGTGCATGCGGAGAAACGGCACCGAGTAGGAGCATAACAACGTTATGTCACAGTTGTTGTGAAATGTTAAATTCTACGCTGTCTTACTTCAACTTCTTCCTCCTTCTGTGCTAATGCAGCAATGAGCTCATTTGACATCTGACAAATGTTGGCAGGATAAAAGCCAGAAATTAGTGTCCTTTCACCTTTCACATTTACTTCACTGCTTCAACACTTACACTAAGAAATAGTGTGAGAGAAATGTTTACACTCTCAAGAGACCTCAGTCTTGTTGATTTATTATCACAGAGAACATCTTTTACAGGACGGCCATTATTCTCAAGCAAATGATTCCAACAACAAACTAACCAGCAGCCCGGGCTGCATGAAGATCGATGATGATTAGAAGTTGCGGTGTAGCTGATCAAGGTTAATGGGGTTGAATCATTTGGTAAAAGCTACTCTTGAATTAATTCTGTCCCAGCAGCAGTGGAGTAGACAATACCCTCACTCCTGGCTTTACCCATTTATGGACAGCAGGTTTTTTTTTTTTTCTCATCGGGGTGCCCTCTCTGGATACAGTGTTTTGAATTCCCTTGGTGAGCTGGCTTGGCCCACTCTCTGCCCTGGATTGTGTAAACACTGCGCTTTTTTCCATACAGACTAGAACAAACATCTGACCATCAGTCCGGCTTTGCTGCCTGGGCTTCCTGGCAGACCACTTCATCTCCATCCACTTTGGGCAGAGGAGCCAGTGTCGTCGGTCATGTCTGTTATGTGCATAAGTGTCCCGTTTCCAGCTGAACGGGAGCGAACCCAACAACTGCTGTAGTGCAGCGCCAACACTCTTGTATTACCTCACTCAGTCTGCCTGCCCGAAGGTATAAACCTACCTGGACAGTGTTATTCTACTCACTCACCGTTTGCATGCCAAGAATAAATAGTTACATGATACAACACCTGCCTTTGCTGTGTGGATCAGTTCAAAATTGAACTTTCCCTCCTTGTCTCTTCCCCTCTGTGTCACACAGGCACACACATTCATATTCACATGAGTTTTCTGCAGCCAAACCCTTAATTCTGCAGTAACCGATACATTCCTTTGCCATGTGTGAGAATGTTTTTTCATCCGTCAATTGACTGATTCGTAAAAATGAAACAATCAAGTGTCCCTCACATCTGTGCTGAATTTCCTACAGCGAGCCAACACCAGATAACTCTAGGTCAATTTGCGGCTCATCCAAAAACCTGGACTTCATTAAGACATTGTTTTAAATTTATATTTAAGAACCCTTGTCTTGATGAAAGATATGGAAAGTGGGTGTAACTTGGGAACAGGTTATCTGCTGCTGTCACCGTCTATCCAACGGGAGTCAACTCTGAGGCCAAAGTGGACATTTTTGACGCCCTGGCAGAAAAAAATAAAATAAAAAAATTCAAAAACAGGAGTTCTTCCATCGCAGGTGAGACTATTTTACACATTTTAAAGTGTGTTGGGTCGTAAAGCTTCTACAGAGACATAGCTGTTCGGTTTTCTATCATATCATATCCTGATGTTCATACTGAATGGATTTGTGCTGCATTCTGTATACTTCCCAGCTGTGGTTAATAGAAACCATGCATCGTACACAGACGATGGAGTGAATGTACAGGAAAGGTGGGCCTGAGCGCATCGAAAATACTCAGATCCTTGATTGAAAATATGAATACCACACTGTAGAAATGCTTTATTGCAAGAATAAAGTCCTGCACTGAAACTGTTGCATTAATAACACGATGTGAGTGTTATTCTAAAGGTACTTTAGTATCTCAAGTAAGAGAACTCACTGCAGAAAAGTAGCTCCTGTGTGTTATGATACACAATATGTTTGGATTATTATTATTAATAATGCACAAGTGGTGAAAGTATTCGTATTGTTCAGTCAAATAAATACTCCTAGTCCGACATGAAAAGTCCCATACATCAGTATTCACAGCAAATAAAGCAAAAGTACTGCCTTTGTCCTTTTTGCTGATAATATCTATAGAAGGACGTCATTAGACTATGAAGCATCAGCGTGACAGCCGCGTGCTACAGCTCTCGAACTACCACAGTTTTAAATAAAGGGACAGCAGATACATCTCAGGGGTCATGCCATGATTAATGTGAGAGGAAGGAAGGAAGGACAAAGTTCCGATACACGAATCTGTTTTCAGTTTGCGGATTTTTCCCTAATCTTTTATTTTTTGGTGAGACATTGGTTTTGTCGAAATGAAACCATGTGAGAGGTTCAGACGGGAAAATCCCAATTTAATAGCGCTGTTAACAAGTTGTAGACATCTGTAATGCGAGCTCGGTTATGTACAGCTTTTTTTTTTTTAAATCGTTAACAATGTGTGGTTATCTGTAGTGTAAAATCTTCACCCTTGAAGTAAGTAAAGCTGTCGGACAAATGTAGAGCAGAAAGTACAGTATCTCCCTCTGAAGTGTGTTGAAGTAGAAGTATAAAGTAGCTTAAAATGTCCAAGTACCTCACTCTTGATTAAGTGTGTCCCATATTTTGCATGTAAAATCTTAATCTGCAAAGTAGCTAAAGCTGTTAAATGCAGCGAAGTGAACGGTGCGACGTTTGTCTCTGAATTCTAATGGAATCGCAGTATATGAGTGGCATAAAATGGAAATACTCAGGTGAAGTATTTGTGCTTGAGTGCAGTGCTGGAGGGATGGTGCTATAAAGAATTATTGCCTCTGCACTGCCTCTTGTTATGAGAACCAGAAATAACCTTTACTTTATTATCCTGCAAACTGTGTCTTCTTCTCTATGGCAACTGTTTAAGTCTCAGCGCGGCAGTGTAGCATTCGCCCGATGAACAATTGGGGTCAAAAGAAATAAACACATCTAATTTTAGAGTAAGCCAATGTCAGCGCTGATGAACACTGTGTACGCCGCCTTTCCAATCTCCTCTGGCAGATTATAAGACTTCTGCTTTCACGGCTACGAGAGCAGCGTATGGTGACATGTGGCCGTTTGACAGAGGGAGAAATGTAATTTTCCACATCTTTGCTGGATTAGTTAGTGTGTTATGTCATAACAAAGAAAGATAACTTTCATCCAATATTAGTGCGGTACAAAAAACAACCGAGACACTGCGTTGAAGTTTTAATCACATAATGTTGACATTAAGTGAGTAATAGGACTCGGCTCGTGGATGTAATGAAGCCAGCGACTAACCAAATGTTGCTGTGAAATAGTTATGAGCACATTTTCAGCTGACACCTCCCAACACTTGAGCCTTAATGACACATTTGTGAGGTTCAGTGAACATGATGAGTTTCACAGAGGAAAAACACCTCTCAGTGGATTTGTACCACTTTACTGCCACCTGGTGACATTTAACAGAAATGTCTCATAAAATACAAATTACTGGGAACTATTGACTGTAAGAGCACCGATAAACAGTATGGAAATATGACAATGCTACATCAAGAAAAGTGTGCAGGTCTTTTGAATAAATAAAACATTTTACAAGTGTTCTTTGTATGAATTTAAATAATATGCAAGTCATGTATTGCAACCCTATAGATGCAGATAGAGTTGAAACCAGAAGTTGACGTACAATGTGTAAAAAGACACATAAGCTTTTTTTTCTCACTATGTGACTTTACATCAGACTAAACTTTTCCTGTTTTAGGTCACTTAGGATCACCAAAATTATTTCTATTTGCTAAATGCCAGAATAATAAGAGAGAATTTAGAGATTTTTTTTATTACTTTCTTCAAAGTCAGAAGTTTACATACATTTCCTTAGTATTTGGCAGCATTGCCTTTAAACTGTATGACTTGGGTCAAATGTTTTGGGTTTCCTTCCACAAGCTTCTCACAATAGTTTGCTGGAATTCTGGCCCATTCCTCCTGACAGAACTGGTGGAACTAAGTCAGGTTTGTAGGCCACCTTGCTCCACACTCCTTTTCAGGTCTGCCCATAAATTTTTTACAGGATTGAGCCACTTTGGTTACGCTTTGCACCAAAACACTTCTTCTCTGGGACACAGAACCCGTCCCCTTCTTGAGCGCTATGATGGCTGGACATCCCCATAGTGTTTATACTGGTGTACAGTTGTTTGAACAGATGAACGTGGAACCTTCAGTCATCTGGACATTGTACCCAAGGATGAACCAGACTACTGGAGGTCCACAATTCTCTTCTTGATATCTTGGCTGATTTCTTTAGATTTTCTCATGTTGTCAGAAAAGGAAGCAGTGTGTTAGAGGTGTGCCTTAAAATACATCCACAGGTGCGCCTCCAATTAACTCAATTGTTGTAAATTAACCTATCAAAAGCTTCCAAAGCCATGACATCATCATAGTTTGAAGGCATAGTAATCTTAGTGTATGTAAACTAATGACTTTGAAGAAAGTAATAAAAAATGTCTCTAAAAAAATCTCTCTCATTATTCTGGCATTTAGCAAATATAAATAATTTTGGTAATCCTAAATCATCTGAAACAGGAAAAGTTTAGTCTGATTTATTGTCAGACAGTAAGAAAAAAAATGTTATATGTCCTTTTATTCTGGTTTCAAATGTAGTTGAAGCTCCTGACAAACTTAAAGACTGCAGGAATGAAACCTACTTTGAAGAGTTCTGGAAACAAGTGGCACAAACTGCTGAACAATGAAAGACTGACCCAGAACCTGTTAAAAAAAAAACAACAAACAAACAAAAGGATGGATGGGCACAGCGTGATGTTGAAACTAGGCGTATGTCCTGAGCGGAACAAGGACATGTTTGACACCCTAATTCTCCACTAAATAGGCTATACTCAATATTTCACATCATTCTTTTTGTTTTGTGTGGATGGTCTGGCTGCACTTCAATTTCATGCTGCTATTGGGGAAAAAGATGCTTTGACTTGTTAATTTTTTTGACCAATCACAATAGTAATGGGTGGAGCAGAGCCAAAGCTGCAGTAATAGCGTCCCCTCAAATTCCTACAAAAAATTGTTTTGGGGCAAAGTTTGCAGGCAAGGAGGCAAACACCATCATTAGAATGGCTAAATCACCAAAAAAAAAAGAGAAAAAAAGCCTAATGCTGCCTTACTGCATGATCTAAAATGTGAAATATTCATTGTAGTGTGTTGTTAGGTTGAAGGTTGTTGTTTCCCAAAGTAAAGAAGCAGAATAAGTGAGCTGCATCAAATGTGTGGTAAATAGTCAGCCTATATTGTAGTGTTTTGCATTTGGTGGGTCACACTCGGGGTGTGTTCTGATATCCATACTACCATATTCTATTGTATGCCCAAAACAGGTTTAGTATACCCCAATACATAGCATGACAAAGTTAGCATGCCAAAAATACCTGAACGTCCAGCTCCATCTGGTCATATTTTACTGTATGCATGCCACCATCTTTTTCTGATTATTCTGACCCACAATCCTTTGCACAGTTATGTCACATACATCAAGCTGTCTGCACGAGAACAAACAAGCTTGAACTGCACAGACAGATGACAGCTCACTATGGGCTACAGACTGTGACGGTTCTAGTTTAATGCACAATATTATGACAAAGTAGTGTGTTCCAGTAGTACGCGTATTGCACAAAAGAGTACATACTGCAGTATAAACTTAAAGGTTTTAATCAGTTTTTGATTTGATGAGCTCTCATGTGGGTCTTGCACACATGTGTATCAGTATCATAAATATAAAAAATAATGAAAATCATGACATTGCTTTGAATTGTGGTTCAACAGAAATATTAAAAACAAGTAAACGAGGATGATGGGACCCGCAAACTAACATTTTATTGAACAACCCTTTGAGGACATCATTGGAATCAAGTGTTTTCTGTGACTCTCAATCAGACTTCTGCACCTGTTGACAGGGATTCTGGCCCAAGTGCTCTAATTTGTCCAGGACAGTGTTGTTTTTTTGTTTTTTAAATTATTCTTTCAAACTCAATTCAAAAACAACGTATTATTTCACTAAATTATAATTTAGCAATTTTTTATTTATTATTACCTTTTTAGTTTCTAGTTATTTGAGTGACTATTGTGAATATTGCCTTTTCTTTAATGGATGGTATGAATAAATTTGAGGATGATTTTCATCCTTTTGTATTTTTTTTGTCTTTTTTCTTATGTTGCTTCACTTGTATCTAGTTGCTGAAATGTGAATTTCCCTGATGAGGGTTTAATAACATTTATCTTCTCTTACTTGGTGAGAGAGAGAGAAAGAAAAAAGTATTTTATACCCCAGCTGGGGGAAAAGAAAATTAAGGGGACATTGTGCCTCCCCCCTGGAGTGAGTAATGTCCTCAGCCTGGCCACCCCTATAAAAGCTGTCTGGCTCCGGCACTGCAGCAGAACAAAACAGCTCCTGTGTTGCACTGACGGTAACACTGCAGTCAGAGCGGCTCTCGGTTCTTCTCTTGTCCTGCAGCCTGTAAACACTCCCCCCCACCCCTCCCCTCCTCCCTCCCCCCTGCGTGCTCCCTGCGTCCTGCGTCACGCCCTAAGCCCCGCCCCCGGCCTGGCTCTCACGCACCAGTTACGTCTGACCGTAAAAAATAGAAACTTCCAAGATGGCCGAGTCCGTGGACTCCATGCATTTCGCAGCAAACAGCAAAACAAATTCCCCTAAACCCCTGATAGCCAAACGGCCGCCGGAGAGCCGTCCGCAGTCTTCCAGCGACATTTTCCCACCGCCCCCCAAGAAGGTCCGGGTGGAGGAGAAGGGCCTGAAGCACAGGCGGCTGAACGGAGAGGTGTGCGCAGGGGAAAAACACAACGGGAAGCAGAGTTGTGGGAGCCCAGCGAAATGGAGTTTCGGCCCGGCCAAGGCGAGCCACTCCACCGCCGCCGCGGTGCCAGCGACTCCCGCCCGGAAAATCTTCAAAATCAGCAACTTCCTCGCGTCGCCTCCCAAAGTGAAAAAGGCGAAAGAGAAGCGACACAAGGAGAAGGAGAAAAGCAGCGAAGCGCAGCGGAGCTCCGCGGCTGCTGTGGAGAAAGTGAGCCCAGCTAGCTGCCATACAAAGACCGAGAACGGCGACGTGAAAATGCTACAGAGAGGTAGGACAGCCGCGGCAGGCTGCTCTCCACGGCGCTCTGCTCACACACTTTATGCTCAAAATAACACCGCATGGGAAGCAATAGTGCCTTAAAATGAATTATTCAATTATTACATAATTTACTGTACCACAGGCCCCAGTATTTATTAGGCCCAGATGGTGATATATACACGTGGAAATGTTTGTTCGTCAGTTGTTGGATGTAGCAGCTTTTCACCTCCTCTGTCCTCTCTGTTACTCCCCTCAGATCACCGTGTGAAGGAGAAAGACAGAGAAAAGAAAAAGGAGAAGAATAAAGAGTGGAAAAATCACAAATTGCCACCTGTGCATGACATTGCGAGAGAAAACGGAGAAGTGATTTCTCCCCAGAAAGGTAGGAATGACAGGAAACGCTGAGCAGTCAGGGGGAAAAGTGACTTTTTCAGTATTTTGGGGGTAATTTTGAATTATTTCAGTATCTTAAATATGTTTTATCTGTTTGTAGTATTACTGCTGGAACTTTGCTGAATTCACTTGTCAACAGTAATTGTACAATCAAAGCAGTTCAGTTTAACAAACTGTTTCATTTAAAATAATTTGAGAATTTTGAATGAAATATGAGGTATTAAGACAGAGAACACACTTTGAATTTAAAGTTCATGTAAATGTGAGACACTGAATACACTTTGATGTACAGTTATATTAAAACATAACCTCACCAGACAAATGTTCTTGTCAAACATGTCAAAGACCACGTAGATAAAAAGTGTATAAAATATGACTTGATTTTGTGTAATCATGTGTTTAGCTGCAGATCATAGGCTGCAATATGTGCACTTCGCTGTATTCATGCTGTACATGATTGTTTTTCTCCATCACAGAGTCTAAGGAGAAGCCCAAAGCTGGTTCAGAGGAAGACCTCCTGCTGAAGAAACTCAAGAAGAAGAAGAAAAAGAAGCACAAAGATGGCGAGCGGGTCAAGGAGAGGCACAGTCGGCCCAAAATGTACCACCGCTCCTGCCAGACTATGTGTTCAGGAGTGTCTCTGGGTCTGCCCGAGTTCCTCAGCCGGATCAACGGGAACAACAGCAGCAGTCTAATCCACAGCACCGCCGCACCGCAACACCACCAGGATCCTGCTGTTACTGCCGCTACCTCCATCTCCACCATGGTCAGGGACCGGCTCGGCTACAACTCCCCGCTCCACTGCACCCCGCCGCCAGGCCTGCCCGGTCTGGAGTTTGGCCGTCTGATCCACATCGAGCAGCAGGCCAACGGAGGGGCGTCGGTGGCGCACGCCTACAGCGAGCAGCTCTCCTGTCTGTCTCCGGCCGAGATGCAGCGCTTCGCCCAGGAGTTTGTGACCCTGTCGTTCAGCGAGGACGAGGCCCAGGCCGCGAGTTTTGTGATGGGAATCATCCACGGAGCGGCGTCCTACCTCCCAGACTTCCTGGACTACTTCTCCTACAAGTTCCCCAACGCCCCAGTGAAGATGGAGGTGCTCGGGAAGAAGGACATTGAGACGACGACCATGGCCAATTTCCACTCTCAGGTGAGGAGGTTTTGTGTTTAGTTCTGCCGCCTGTGGTGGACGGTTTTGTGAAGACGAGGATGCTGAACTGTCTGCTTTGATACTGTGAAGTGTCACTTGGTAGTCTGGAGGTGTGAGCAGCACAGATTCAACTGTCACAAGCTGAAACGACACATTAACAGTGTTGGCCAGACTGTAGAGCTTTTCAGGCTGCACTGAGACTTCTTTACTCGCGTGTTCAGAGCAATTCAGAACTGAGGCTGTCTTGTCTTTGTTGTGGTGATTATGGCACCTTGAGTCGGAGTCACGCCTTCATGTTCGATGCCGCTCAAGTGTGTAAAGTTAGAGGTGACGGCAACAGATCTGCATTCTGGACGACTGTTTGTTAGTGGTTTGTGTTTCTAATTAGTTTTTTCTTGCGAGTCTAAACACGAATCCACATCTCTTAAGTATTAGCTTTACATAAGGGTGTTGCTTTAACTTGTTTTTTTCTGACTCTGATTTGTCTCTGATCACTTTTCTTTCGAACAGATTTGAAATGAATGAAGCGCGCTTTCCCATTCTTAAAACTCTGCGATGAGTTCATTTGACAGGATATAAATAGGGTTTTGCTTTTCATAAATATAGCGAGATCATGAGATTATTTTTTTATTTTAAAGGGTTGTCGTTGTAGAAAGAAAACTTTAACAGAAAAGGATTGTCATCAGAAACCTCCAGCTTTCTCCACTTAACACTTACAGCAGTGTCTAGCCCAGGCACTTGAAATATTTTAATGTCAACTCTTATTATGAGGAACAGTTATCAGAAGAAGAATCAAGAGCTTGCATTTTAATCAATCGTGTATTGATGATTGCTGAACATCTGTTCATATCAGTGACATTCGTCCGAGATGAAGCTCAGACATCTGAGACACTCTCCTCTCTAAATTCTAATTTCCAGTTTTAAAAAAAGCATGTTAGCATTTTCTAAAAGTCAGAAATGATGTCTGCCTCGTACCTCAATCACAGTTTGTACTTTCAGCATCATTTGAACATTCTTGTAGAAGTTGGGGGGGAATCAATTTAGGTCAGGAAAAATTAAAATTATTCATGCCACAGACCCCTTACTGGGAGGAAAATTATTCCAGGGTCTGTCTCTCGATCGTACTGATACTCCGAGTGCTTTGTAATCAGATAGTGCTTCAGCTTGTCTGGCATCATGACTTCCTCTACGACCAACATAAGGCAGATGGTGCATTTCACCCTGTTGCTGTTCTCAGTGAAAAACCAAACTGCATACAACTGCCAGCGCATTTTCCTGATTTAGCTGCTCGGGGCTTAACGCTGCTTGATGATATGGATTGTGGACTTGCATTTTTCCGTATCAGCAAACAGCGTTGAGATGGTGAAGCCACCTGAGTTAAAGCGACTGATCATTTCACGTCTGCGTTTGCTGTCAGACTGGTACGATGTGTCAGAATCCGAGTTTCTGCTGGCACTAAGCTCACATGTGGGAGTAAAGGATTCAGTAACACATGTATTTTATTGCATAGCTTGGCTTAAGCGTGCTGTGTGCCACAGACCCGGGGGCTGTTCAAGCTCTCGCTTTGAGAATCACAGTTTTAGAGCTTTCCCGACGGCATCTTGTGATGCTGCAGCGTGCTTCTTTTTCTTTTCAACACTTCTTTTTTTTTTTTTTATTGAAGCGTTCGCATCATAAACAAAGTCAAGCACAGTTTGAGAGGGAAAAAGGACACAGCCCAAATGACTACAAGAGGATACGCTTTCTGATGCTGTATCCAGGACAAACATTTTGACTGTTACTGGGATATTAAAGATTTTAAGTGGGGGTTTTGTGGTGGTGACTGGTGGGAACATCATGTGTTAGATGTCCCGGCTTCTTCTTCTGCAGATTTACTACCATGTTACAGTCATTTTCTGCTGGAAAATTAATTCTCCTGCTTGCCAAATTAAGTCAGAAGTGATAGCATCACTCTACAGGGAGGAGAATGGAGTCAGGGTGGTCTAGTAGTCATAACCCAGGAAGTCACTATGGCCAGAATAGACAAAAGAACCATTTGAAAACATGTTCTGCCACTCTTTTTATGATTATTTGTTTTTACCTATGCTGTCATTTGTTAATGTACTCTGCCTCCGTGAGGCTCTTTGGACACCTTCGTGAACAAATGTCTTTTATCACGCATTAGCAGTAGTTAAATAAACACTTGCAGGGTCATATCATTTACCTCCTGTTCCCGCTGTTGTTATCGCGTCTCCTACCTGCAGTGAGATGTGTCTGATTATCTGTAACGTATTAACACTGATGTACCCTTTTGTGTGGTTTCAAATGGTCATATAGTCGGAGAGATGCACCATTCAGGCTCTACTTTTTATTGTGTTGCTTGCATTTACTGCTTTTATTAGCTAGTGACAGCCGAGAGATGACAGGAAATGAGGGAGAGATCCCTAGCCGGATACAAACCGTGATCATTTACTTCATGGTTGGCTTCGTAGCACCCAGAGCCAGACTGATTGACTGTAATTTACACAGTAAAACCCACACTGTCATTTATGCTCTGCACCTCGCCGTAACCTTCGTGCACGATATTTGACTATTTTCTTGTGTTGTTTGTTAACTAGAGAAGAGGTATGATGTCCCTGAGGGGTATTTTTTTTTCCTCATAGAAAGCTGTCAGTAATAATGAATTACAAAAGAAAATTACAGCTGAAAATGAGAAAACAATAAATGAAGAAAAGTACACTCTGTTGTCATCGTCACCGTATTATCCGGGGAAAGCAGCGAGAGGAAGAAACCAGAAACCACTCACCTATTACTAACACACCAAACTACATTTTGTTTTTTAAAAAAAAGCCAATACATTATAGAAAAAAAACCTGATAAGCCCTTTAATGCCACCTCTAGGGAGGTAAAATCTCCGTCCTAATGGAAGCAGATTAAACTCGTTGCGAGAAGAGTGCAGGGAGATGACCTGGCTCTCTGTTTAGTGTGTATTAATCACATAAACACTGCATATTTGTCTTTTGACATATAATGTATCTTTTACTACATTTACACTAACATTTCCTTGCATTTCTGAGTTATATTTAATTTGAAACAATATCAGCACTGAACACCTTATCATGACTGTAGTCCCCCCACATACTGTTTTGAGGGGCTTGCAGCACAAAACAATGCACAAACAACACAAACAGCCTGCCTCTGATACAATAAAGGTTTATGAGCCGTTTGGAGGCATCATCTCTGCTTCACGAAATCCCCATCACACCGTCGAATTGGACATTTTAATGTCGACGTTCGTTCGGCTGAACCTCGGTGTCCGTTGCAGTCAGATTTGATTCACCAATCAGGGTCGCAGGTGGGGGGTAAACGATTTCGGTTCAGTATCTAATTGCAATTTTTTCTGCCAGAAATTGCGATTGGATTCCTGGTATAATTTTTTTTTTGAAGTCAAGCTTCAGTTGAATGTCCTCTGTGTAATAGATAAAAACATGTGATGGAGCATTACCACTTTAGTTAACATCAAAAGTGTGACTATCACACGAGCGTGGTGTGAATTTGCAAAATCACTCACACGACAGCTCCAACCTCGGGTCAACTGCGTTACACATATCCTAAACTGCAGCCGTTGCAATAATCAAATCAGATTTTGATTTGAAATCGATTCATTTTTCAGTCCTCGATGTAGGTGAATGTTGTGTCTGATGTTATCGTCAGTTTAAGTCTGCAGAACTTCATGAGGTCTCCCTGTTTCCTAGATAAAACAGTTTTTGAAGACATCAGTTGGTTTTTACAATTTCTCTAAGATAGTTTTGATTTCTCGGGGTGATGATAGCATAATGCGCTGCGTCAAGCAAGTTGTATTTGCGGCGTGTTGACATTTACTTCTCTTGATGAGCACCAAGTGTTTAGGAACTTTAATTCCTTGTGTTTAAGGTCCTGTAAGCCGGCCTGCAGGTGCTGTTGGTACTCTTAATGAGTGCTTTATTGAATGCAGGTGCACTGGAAAGGTCACACCGTTTATGTTAAGAGCACACTGAGAGTGCAAGCCTCTAAAAGGTGCATATGATGTTTTAAAAACCAGCTCGTGGCAGTAAAGTGCACGGCAGATCTGTGGAAACACGATGTATTGATACCTACTGGGTCTGACCTGTGCTCTCTGCGCCGCCTCCTGCAGGTGAAGCGAACATACTCCCAGGGAACGTACCGTGCCGGGGCCATGCGGCAGGTCAGTCTGGTCGGAGCTGTGGACGAGGAGGTCGGAGACTACTTCCCTGAGTTCATCAGCATGTTAGAGGAATCTCCCTTTCTGGAGGTTAGTGCGATTAGTTTGTGTATGCACACACCATTACAGCCAGAGAGGTGTCAGCGTGTGTTTAACTTCTCCCTGTGTGTTGCTACGAGTCTTATGTAAGCTGACGTTTCTCACTCTGTGTTTGTGCAGCGGACTCTGCCCTGGGGAACGTTCTCCAGTCTGCGGCTGCAGAGCCCCACTGAGAGTGACGACGGCCCCATCATGTGGGTCAGACCTGGAGAACAGATGATCCCTATGGCAGACATGCCAAAATCACCCTTCAAAAGGAAAAGGTGAGTGAAGATTTGAAGATGCCAGTAAATGTTTGCCATCGCATCTCACCAGTATCAAAAGAATTTGTTTAAAATAAACCTAATGTAGCACAACCACTGAAATACATAGTTGGTATTTACTTTGCAAGGTTCTTGCATGTTCTGAATATATATATTCCAGGTCCACCAACGAGATAAAGAACCTGCAGTATCTACCGAGAGCCAGTGAGCCCAGAGAGATGCTGTTTGAGGACCGGACGAGAGCCCACGCTGACCACATCGGTCAAGGCTTCGAGAGACAAACTACTGCTGCTGTAGGTGTGCTGAAGGCCGTGCGCTGCGGAGAGGAGTAAGTGAAAAACGTCTAACCTCATCGTCACCTTTCTGTTTTGTTTCACTTAAAAACTTTCTTAAGCTGTTGTTGCTCTTTTATTTATGATCAGATTTTCCTTCAGATCAATAAACAAGATTTTGTGTATTTTCTCACAGCAGTGACACTCCTGCCCGGATCACCAAAGACGTTGTGTGTTTCCACGCTGGAGATTTCCCAGATGTGGTCATGAGGCTGCAGCTGGACCTCCACGAACCTCCGCTGTCTCAGGTGGGTCTGTTTTCTTAATCGTGTCAAGCTGTACATGCCGGACAATCTGTTTCTGTGTCAGATCAAACCTCCTTTAAGATGCACAAATCATTCGTCCACATTAAAATATGTTCTGGTTGGATTAAAACTATAGCGATACGTACCGGGTGATAGACAACTGAAAAATAGCAAAACAAAAATAGTTCATGTTTTACTTACAAGCATTGGAAGCAAACTGCCATGCAAGCACACAGGGGAAACAAACTTCTGTTCCTCGCACAAACCTCAAGCGTGCTCCTTTCCTGCCTCATAAATAGCCTGTCATAATTTGATTATGGCGCCCCTTCGCCCTCTGTCGCTCTCCCTGTTGGCATCCGCGCAAGTCTCCCATAGTGTGCTGGTCTGCAGTCCGCCGGTCCTCCCCTTGTGGAGGCCGTGGCCAGCAGGGATCGGTGGTTGCCCTTGCAAAACGTGCGTCTCGGTCTGAAAACATCCTAAATTTTGTGTTACGAGCTCCTGCTTCAAGCTCTGCTTCAAATCTAAAGCTCAGCGCAGTGCAGCAGCTGGTAGCTCCACACGCCTGCTTTATTTGTTTAATGTGCATCAAAGAGAGGCGATTCTGTGACTCATATTTATGTGTAAATGTGATTATTTGTGTGTTTTTCATTGTTGTGTTATCGTTGAAGTTCTCACCTCTGTGCCTTGATAAATAGGCTGAAGTGGGGGGCGCCGCTTTAGCTCACCTGGTTGAGCTGACAACCCATGTACAGGGGCTATAGTCCCCTATGCAGCGGCCATGGGTTCAAATCCCACTCATGGCCCTTTGCTGCAAGTCCTTCCCCCACTTTCCTGTCTCTCTCTCGACTGTCCGATCTAATAAAGGCCCCAAAAAAATAACTTTAAATAGGCTGAAGTGGTTGAATTCAAAGTAAGGTTCAGTTCAAATGAAATGTTTACTTCCTGGTCTTTGTTAAAACCCGGCCATTCAAAATGACGAATAATAATCAATTTTGCCTGAGAAACAAAAGATATTGTGATCAACTTTTCAGCTGTATTGCCCAGCCCCGCTTCTGACTTTGTCACCCCACCCAGCAAAGTCTGAATGAACTACAAAAAAAAAGGCAAACAAATTAAATTAGGTTTTGCCGTTATTAAAAAATAAGTGGTTTTCTCGGTTCTGTGTGGATGTGGGTGTTTCCACAGAAGGCGCTGATAGACAGCTGCCATATCAGCCCAAATTAACTGCACTGTCCACGCAAATGAGGTTGTTTTCACTGAACCAAACGGCTTAGACTTCACAAACGCACACTGGAGATGTGGAATATTTTTCCTCTTTGCATGAACTGTAGTAATAAATCAGTGGATTATGTGTAAAGAGATCGCTTATATTGAGGAAGCCACAGAAGTCAAGTCATCCACAGATAAAAACAAAAACCCCTGTTGTTACCCTGAACTCTGAGGAGCTTTTTCAGCATCCTCCAGCACATAGTTTTTATTTTATGGCGCCCAGCGTAACTGTTCTGGTTTACGTCCACCGCTCTCATCAGCCTGATCTCCAGCAGCAGTTTTCCGTCCAACAGAAACACTTTGTGTAATAACCGCTCTACGCTGAACAGCACGCAGACAACATTAGCAAATTATTAGTAAACACAAAGAAGCATTTATTAGCTGCAGGACCAGTTTGAGTTTAGAATCCTAAAATAGCGTAAAGGTGAGCCAGTATTGGACTTAGATTTGCCAGGGGACCAGAAACAAGACTCCTAATGATTGCTGCTGTGTGACTGCTGGATGTGTAAAGAAAAAAAACAACACACATCTATGCCAACGTGTTAGCTCTAACAATGTAATGTGTCAGTGTTGTGTTCACAGCCCGTTAACCTTCTGAATTCCAAGTCCTGCTAGTGGGCTTGAAAGGCATGTAATCTTCCCAAAAAAATACCATTTATCAGAGACACAACCTCTGAAAACGCAGTGACCCTGTTTTCGACTTTCCGAAAGCTCCTGATGTAATCATGTGCAATGTGTCAGAAGCCTTAATTAAAACCAAGCGTACAAATGTGACCAAAATCCGTCAAAAAAAATTTCGACAAACTAAACCGTCTTCTAACCAAACTGTTTAAAAGAACTCTGGGAAGCGACGGCTGACTCAGCTGTGGCTGTGACAGTCATGAGACAAGTATTCTGTGAGTTTTGGGCTGAACTGGGCTGAACTGCAGGGTGTGTTTATACAGAGACAAATATGGAATCTGATTAAAAATGTAAGTCGTGACACAGCTATAGTATGTAGAGCCTTATTCTTCACCTATGGGCACTTGGAGCAATGTGTTGCATGCTGATTCCAGGTTTTTTTGTAAACCAATTCTTCCAAAAAAAGCATCCGTGGTTGTGCTTTTTCCATAGAGGTGCAGGACTTTATATAGCAGTGAAAGTGAGACAAACTGTGATGGGAGCAAATAACTTCTTTGGGTTCAGAGGGTTGAGGAGTCAAGAAAAGCAGCTTGCAGTGCAAAAAAAAGGAAAACCCAGACTAGACTTCACTTAAAAGTCAGCCTGTGAATCACCACAGCTCTTCTAGTCTTTCTGCCATGCACAGATGTAACGGAAAATTTAAAATATGTTCACCTTTTTTTTTTGTGTTTGAGGGATTGCTGAATGTCATGTGCTCCTGTCCTTCCTCCACAGTGCGTGCAGTGGATCGATGACGCCAAGCTGAACCAGCTCAGGAGGGAGGGGATCCGATACGCCCGAATCCAACTCTACCACGACGACATCTACTTCATCCCCAGAGGAGTCGTCCACCAGTTCAAGACTGTGTCTGCCGTCTGCAGTCTGGCCTGGCACATCCGCCTCAAACAGTATCACCAACACGAAGAGAAGGACGAGGAGGAGGAGGAGGAGGAAGAGGAGGAGGTGAAGGAAGAGAAGTGTTCGCCCAGAGACATAACACTTCATATCAAAGAAGAGGAGGAAGACGAGCAGGTAGAGGGGAAGGAGTGCGACCTTGCTGTAAAGACGGTGACGAAGCTGGAGGACGAGGACATGGAGGGAAGGGAGGGGCCGCCCTTACAAACTCCGACGACACAGATTTTCAAGGAGGAAGAGCGAGAAAGCAGAGCCGAAATGAAGGAGTTGTCAGCAACACAGTCGCTACCTTTAGTCAAGAGAGAGCGAGACGAAGGTGTACACGCACCCACACTAATGGAACCTAAAGCCGAGGAAGATGCGACGGAGGACGGCAAAGGAGGCGCAGACACATGTCCGACGCTGCAGAGGGGCCACGAGGAGGCTGGAGTGGACGGTGCATCCTTAAAGTCATTACAGCAAAACAGGAAGGAGAGCGACGTGGAGGAGGAGAGGCAGCAAAAGACACCTCTGCCGGGTCAAGGTCTAAAAGACAAAAGTAAAGACAGTACATCTAGCACTTACAGCGCACCACAAATCAAAAAGGAAAAGGATAAAGGCAAAAGAGAGAAAGATGAAAAGGAGAGGGCGAAAGAGAAGGAGAAGAAGGATAGGAGTAAAGAGAAGGACAGGGATAAAAAAGACCGGGGGAAGGACAGAGACCGAGAGAAGGACAGGGTAAGAGAGCAGGAGAGAGCGAAGGCTGAGGGAGGAAGAGATGGCAGCACACCGATGCTGCCTCCGATAAAGAAAAAAGAGGACGAGGAGCGAACAAGAGAGGGCAGTAAAACCTCTCAAAGCAACCCGCCTGCTCAGAGAGACGAGAAGTGGGCCAAGGAGTGGGACTCCAAAACGCAAACCCACGTCAAGAGAGAGAAGGAGCACGATAAAGACCGGGGAGGCTCGCAGGCGGCGCCGCACCCTCGGCCGGACAGGGAGGAGGCTCGAGACGCCTGCACGCATAAACACAAGTCTTCGCACGGGAAGAAGGAGAAGAGCGGCCACAGGGAGGGCAAGGACAGCAACACGTCGCAGGGGATGCAGGCGAAGTCGGGGAGAGAAGACGGCAAGGCTCCCAAACCTGCAAACATTCAGGTTAAGAAAGAAGGCAAGAAGGACAAAGACGTGAGCAGTAAGGAGGAAAAGAAGAAGCCCGCCTCCCAACCGGAACACAGACAACCACGGATGCTCGTCCCCTTTGACCTTTTTAAACCGATGGAGGCTCACCAAACTTTGGCCCTTTCCTTCACAGACAGTAGACCTAAGACCCACCACCACAGTGACTCTCGAGGCTCCTCCTCTAAGCCCGGATCTGACAGTCGGACAGTTGTGCCCTCTAAAGGACCAAAAGTAAAGGACTCGATGCAGGGAAAGCCTGCCTCGGTTAAAACAGCCCCGGAAAACACACACACCCCAAACACAGAAAGACTTCTTAATATGAATGTCTAGATGTCTAGTCTTCTTTTTTTTACTGTACAACTTACGCCGAGGCTTTGTTCAAATACTTGGAAGCGCATCCTGCCCTCAGATATCTACTGGTCTTTTGTAATCGATGAGCGGAAGCATTCCCCATTACTTTGACACGGCGACATTAATCCTGTGAGGATGCGCTCTCCAAGTATTTTAACAGCGCCTAAGAATGTAAGCTAAGTAGCTCACTTCACGTTTGTTAGCAGATGTATGTAGGCTTTATATAAAATGTTATGTGACCCGTGTGTCAGTGCCTGTGCACTACTTAGCTTCGCTCTTAAAGCACCTATTTTAGGTACTGGACTAGCCAATCTGAAAACAACCGTCTTTACTCCCTGCTATAGGAATTACCTTCACTGTTTGGAACATGACAGCAAGTCTCAAGAGCCGAAATCCTCTTTTTATCGTCGCTTTAGTCGACGTTGTTTCTAACACTCCAAAATCAGAGCAAGTAGTTGTTTTCAGACTGGACTGTTTTGACTCACACAGGGCTGTAAATGATACTGTATGTACCAAAACTGTACAGTATAGATGTTATTAGCACCAATGTGAGAAAATGTATACAGAAATTGCATATATTTTTTGTAAGACAAGTTTTATTTTCCATAGAACTTATTTATATCATTTACTGTCTGTTTTTATTTGAAACCAACGTATGTGAAAATTTTGTTGTAAATACATTTTATTTCCTAAGATAAGACTTGGTAGTGTGATTTATACTCTGATCAGAACCTCTCAATAAATGGTTCAAAATGTTGACTTAGTCAGCGTTAATGTCTCCTCTGCTTTTTGTACCAACGAGGCTACAATATTCGTTTTTAGCTGCGTAAACGGCGACAGATCACGACGTGGGTTCGAAGCTGTGGGCCGGATTGTGGCTCCATTTGTTTGTGATGTTTCCTGAACTGCGCTTTTAGTTTAACGGTGATATAAAATGGGAACATGCTCAATATCATTACAATTTGATGAGTGAGAAATGCTAATAATGACAAGTTTTTTTCACCGCAGGCATTTTAATGTGCAATAGTTTAAAAAGCAACTTCTAAGATTACCTTCTTGTATTCTGGTGTCGCTGTGAGCCGCTACGAACAGAAACAGGACCCTGAAATCCAAGCAGCGAAACGGAATGCAGCTATCATTATTTTTGGCATTTACACTCGTGTTGTTCCGACTGCGACCTGTTAAAATGTCTTACGTTGAGCTGGGAGTGACAGGCTGAGTTTACAAAGACCTGAAACGTCCCAGAAGTTTCTATCAGGATCAAACTTGATGTACGGAAACGATGTGACATTTTCATCTGTTCATGTCGTGCAGTCACAAGGATGTCGACTGGAGTTCTTAAAGTGCAAATAACGTTTAATCCATACAGACGTAAAAGTTCTTAATTTACATTCAAATTGTGTTGCTGATCGAGGGCTTTTTGGGAAACACAATATCTGTAAATATAGCTTCACAGATATGATATGGCTCAGTGAAGCGCTGAACGACATTTTGTGTAGCTAGGAGCTCGTCTGGATCATCTGTGATTTGGACCTGATCTCACCTGAGCCAGTTTCTTTCTCTACTGTAGAATAAAGGTGAACCAAAAGGCTGCAACGTGAATGTCAAATCAAAGTGACTCGAAACATGCCATGTGGACTGGTGTGTACAACGGTCCACTGGTATCACAGGACGACATCCAATTCCCTCCGACTGCAGCGCCTGAAATCGAGATCGTGTTTTCTTTCTCTCCTATTCAAAACCTGCACAGTGTAGAACCCACTGGAACCCTAACCCAGCGACTCTACAGTAACACCGACCAGACGATCCTATAGTAAAGGTTTTGACTTTCAGTGATGCATCCTTGGTCAGAGATGCTTGACCGTAAAAAGTTTTTGTCCTCTCATTCAGTCCTGACCCTCAGTCCCTCCTGTGGTGGAAAACACTGCGCCCCAGCTCCACCAGCGCTCCACCCAGCAGCACCCACAGAGGGACGCACACCACGCTGATCCACGTGTCCGTGAGCCTCTCCAGGCGGGAGCACAGAGTCAGACAGAAGCCCAGCTTCAGCAGCAGGGCTGTCAGGTAGCACAGCCTCCTCCTGACACTCTGCTCACCATCTCGGGGGTCAAAGTCCGGCTTGCAGCGGCCTGCCATCTTCACTATCAGCATGAGGATGAGGATGGTGTCAAACGTCCAAACAGGAAGGAAGATGAGGAACCAGTTCCAGTGGATTTTGGAGTCCAGCTTGAGGACCAGCATGATGAGGAAGATCAGGGCAAAGATCCAAGAGAGGAGCACTCGCTGGGCCAGGGACATCTTCATCTATGGAGGACTGGCACGGAGCCAGGGTCACCCACACACACAGACTGAGGACCAGAGCCAAGGTGACAGAGGGATCTGGAAACACAGCAAAACACAACACAGCTCTTCTCTGATGGATGTAACCCTCCACTGATGAGCACAAGACTGAAAATAAACTTTAGCCAAATAAACAAAACTATCACATCTCAGGCGTCCATAAGTCTCCATTAGCTGTTACTTCCACTTTAGCATTAGTGCGAACTGAAGCTACTGTATGTTAGCAAGCTGCGGCTAACTTGTAGAAGCCAAAAGACAGCGTTGTTTAAAGATGTCTTACCGGGTTTAGCAGGAGAGTCAACTTGTTGTCTCAAAGCTGAGGTTTATTAAACAATGGAGGACAAATGTCAGCACTTTAAAACAACTGTTTTAACAGGAACGCAGCTCGACCACAGCGTTGAGTTAACGTTAGCTTGAAGCTAATTGAAGCTAGCAGCAGTAACAGCAAGACTTCCGGTTCGGCTTTTCACAACAAGGCAGGATTATTGACGTATTTTATAGTCGTTTAGGGGGAAGCCTAACATCAAAAAGCAATCCGGGAGTTTGCTTTTAAGCCAATTTGGAATTAACGCAACAAGTTTGTGGCTCAGTTACTCAGTTTGTGTTGTTTTTGTAAGAATAAAAAACAAAAGAAGTAGTTTGAGGTCTAATGATGCAGGATTTCACTTGTGCAAAATAAGCCTCTTTATTAGAAAAAAGAATCTACACATGCAAACTTTTCACTGTGAACAAAAACAACTCCTCCTGATGTAAGGTAAGAAGCCTGCCATGGATGGTTTTCAATACTGTAGTCTTGCTAATGTTAGATTTCTGATTAACTGCAAAATGCACATTATCTTCTAACACACTGTCATAAAAGCTAACGAGCAGTAAAAAAAATATATTATTAGTCTAAAATGCTAATTGGCTGACTTTATGTTAAACTAATAACTTTATGCTTCATTAACAACCCTGCTGAATGATTTGACTTTTGATTTTATGTCAGACTTTTAAATATCAATGATAATAAAGTTGTCGTAAAGTTATAACTTCCCTCTGAGGCTCATCAATTCTAAATTACTTGGTAATAATCTAAAAAAAATATCTATTTAAAATATCTAACATCTAGAAAATCAGTCTACGATATTTTCTGTATCTGTTATCTAACATTTATGTTGCAGTTAAAGTAGGAGCAACATTAAAATAAAGTCAGTACTATGTATAGATAATGGGAGATGCCCCTGTTCAAGATTTTACATTCAGTTTTATAATATCACAGGTTGGTTATCATGATTTAATGATGACACATGAATTTATGATCTAAATGTGTTCAGTGAAGCATAAGAGATTTTGTTTGCATATGATATTGATATTCCAAATATATATATATTAGAAGAAAATAGACGTTGTTCCAAAGGAGGAGTATCTTACTTCCTTATTTGTTTTTCAACACACAATGTAAAGTTGTTGATGCTGCTTGTGTAATGTTTTCTCCCTGTAGTACTCGGTGAAGTTGGTGGACGTTTTGAGGGACAGAATCACGCATCCATCCAAAGCATCATGAGGCAGATGCTGTCTAAGTAAAATTTCTTTGACAGCAATCGGTGGAGTTGTGGACATTCAAGTGCTTGGTTAAGGCTCTGACTAACATGCCGGCATGTCAGCAGGCCGTTCACATCTCATCTGTTTGAATGAAGCTGCATTTTAAAGTGGCCTTTTATAGCCACTGGTCAAAGGACACTCTGTTTACTGACCACCTTATCTGATCATTGCCCTCTAAAGCCACACCTGATGAAGGTTTAGATTAACTCGAGTCACCAGATGACAGCTCAAAAACTTTTGGAGCAAAGTTGCCTAAATGTTTTCTTACTATAAAAATAGAAATTAGATTGTTTTACTTTTACTACAAGTCAGAAAAACGACCATTTACATGCTACATTTTTGTTTACTGTCATTTTTCAAAGTTTTCCTCCTCATGTTTGTGTGTAACGAAAGCAAAAAAATCACAGTTGAATTAATGTAACTGTTACCGAACCCCTAATTGGACTTAATAGCCGGCTTTTACTATCTGAATCAAATAAATAAGTATAGTGCAACGTAGCTGCCATTCATTCGGTTAAGTGTGATGCAACAATAAACAACTTGAATGAAGTAATTCATCCTAATCAAATGAATGATGCATTGTGCTCTAATTTACTTCACAGTCACACAATAACATTCAACAGTGCATCTTTAATTGGATCGGCGCTGGTTCCTGCTGCTTCCTCCTCCACACTTTCCCTTTCTGTTCAGAGTCACGTTTGTTTTTATTGCACTGCAGAGGACAGCCTTTCATATCTTTATCACAAGTCCATTAAAATATAAAATTTTTC